TCTCCCCGGATAGCTGCTGGCCAGAAATGAGATGAAAGGTTAATGTCTAGGAAAGGGGTGGAGGAAAGGCCTGACCAGGCCAGCCTGGATCCTGAAGCCTGAAGTGGTACCAAGGACTGTGACACCGAGGCTGTGCTGAGGGGCCAGGGACAAGGAGGGCCTCACGCATCACCTTTCAGGACTTCAAAGGTGTGTGAATGCATACGTGTGTGTGTGTGTGTGTGTGTGTGTGTGTGTGTGTAGCACAGCAGGCCCTTCACCAGGTTGCCTGCTCTGTCCTCCTTCCTTGCTGATGGGGGTCTAGCATATGCCTTTCCTCCCCACTGAAAGCATCCAGACCTATGTTAGAGAGGAGGCCCCCTAAGGGGACCTGAGGATTGGGAGTGGGTAGCAGGTCTCCTAAGGTGCCTACTCAGACCATCCTGAGAACGAGAGACAGGTTTGAGATGACCTGCCCGGAACAGGAAAGCAGAACCTCCTAAGATGAGCTTGGGACTCTCTGTTCCACTAGGGCCTCTCAAACACGATCCTGAGCTCTCACTGATCTGGAAGTGAGTGTAGAGCCCCCCTGGCAGAGGAAACAGTTGCCTACTCTTCCTGTCCCCATGCCCATCCTAGGCCTGTGGACCTGTGTGCCCATGCCCATCCTAGGCCTGTGGACCTGTGTGCCCATGCCCATCCTAGGCCTGTGGACCTGTGTGCCCATGTCCATCCTAGGCCTGTGGACCTGTGTCCCCATGCCCATCCTAGGCCTGTGGACCTGTGTGCCCATGTCCATATGCTGGTTTACGCCTTGCTTCAGCAGCCGCATGCCACTGAAGCAGGGGCTGTGGAGGAGGGATATTCACATCCCACTGCCTTTAAGGCATTCGGGATTCATCCTGGCCACAGCGATGGTACGTATGCTCCTCCAACACATAGCACCAGGCCCCTAGTGTTCTACCCTGTGCTGTGGATACGCCTCGAAGTGCTCCCTCTCTGCTCTTTCTCTCTTTTTCCATACACCCCTCCCTTGGCTCTCTACTTTAGACCCAGGGTTCACTTTGCCAAGGTTGGATGGTCACCTTAGATCCCTTCCCCCTCACTGGATATGCTTTAAACTGACCATTGCCCCCGATCCTAAATGGCAGTGGGACTTAACTCCTCCACTGGCTGAAGGCCATCTGGCTGCCCTTTGGCACTACGGGCTCCTGTAAAACCAAAAATAAATGCTTGCTCACTCCAAGGGGGAAGAACCAGGGAATGGTCACAATCAACTCAAAGCAAAACCAAACTCCAACAGTATAAACAACTCAATGTCCAATGTCTGGGGTTCACTCACGGTCTTCCAGGCTCCTCAAAAAGGTCACCTCTCCGGCTCTCCCTCGGCAACACACAGTTTGTCTTCTAGGCTCTGGCTGGCTCCACTCATCCACTGCCGCTGTTCTTGGTGGCAATCCTGTGGCACTGACGTCTCCAAAACGCTGGGGTCTTCTGCTGCAACTGGGGTGCCCTTTCACCAATCGCCTCTCCTGGGCTCTCTCGCGTGGCTCCAACCCTGGCACACACTGCCAAGCTTCAGCTGGTCTCCATGACCCCTTCACACCTTCAAAACCAACATCACCTGGGCGACTCACTGAGCTCTCGACATCCAATGACTGACTTTCTTTCTTTCTTTCTTTCCTTTCTTTCTTTCTCTCTCTCTCTTTATTTTCTTTCTTTTTTTTTGTTTTTTTGAGACAGGGCTTCTCTGTAGCTTTGGAGTCTGTTCTGGAACTAGCTCTCCTAGACCAGGCTGACATCGAACTCACAGAGATCCGCCTGTCTCTGCCTCCTGTGTGCTGGGATTAAAGGCCTGTACCCCCACTGCCTGGCTCAATGGCTTTTCTATAGCTCAGTTCTAAAATTCTTCTACAGTCCTCCCCAAAACAGCATGGTTAGGCCTGTCACAGCAACACCCCACTATCCTGGCCCCAATTTGCCCTAGTTAGACTTACTACTGCTGCGATGAGACCATGAAAGGGTTTATTTGGCTTCCATGTCCACATCAGTGTTCATCATTGAAAGAAGCCAGGACAGGAACTCAAACAGAGCAGGACCTGGAGGCAGGGGCTGATGCAGAGGCCACTGAGCGGTGCTGCTTACTGGCTTGCTCCTCATGGCTTACTCACCCTGCTTTCTTACAGAACCCAGGACCACCTGCCCAGGGATGGCACCACCCACCATGGGCTGGCCCCTCTCCAGTGATCACTAAGTGAGAAAAGCCCCTCCAGCTGGATCTTATGGAGTCATTTTCTCAATTGACGCCCCCTCCTCCCTGATGATGCTCGTTTATGTCAAGTTGCCATAAAGGCATGGTTCAGACTGGGAGGGATGGCCTCTCCCACCGGTATACACTGAGATTTCCACTGTGTGTTGGGCTACGTTTTGCTGCTTACTGGTCTAGGAAGGTGGGTTCTTGGAAAGCAGTCATCCCAGTAGAGATTGGCTTGGCTCTGGTGCTGTGGAGATGTGAGGCCTGGCTTTCCTGGAGCTGGGCAAAGGCTTGGTCTGGAACATTATGGACTTTGGGACCACGGTTGCTGGGTTTCCTGGCTGGAGTGGGCCTGGCAGGGGAGCCCCATTCTGTTTTTACTCTTCCTGGATCTGTCCTAGGTGGACCCGAATGCTCTCAAGTAAGCCTGAACTGTGGGAGGTATTGACAATTGGGGTTCTTTCCTTCATGAGCCCTGCCAGGGGCTAGGATAGTGCCAAGTGCCCATCTCCTTCTTCAAACTCCCCTGCACAGCAGAACATAGCAGAAGTGCCACTCAGTCTCACTGATAGTAGGTTTAGAATTAAAGGGCTCCCCAGAGGCACCCCCAAGTTGAGGTGGACTGCTTGCTCCTAACCTCAGAGCCCAGACCCCACAAGACAGCCTTGCCTCTCACACTTCTACTGAAGAGGTAGGGTGTTTGTGGACTGACTTTGGATGATGCTGGGTGGGCAAGGACACTTGTTCTCTGGGGACAATAATGCTGATATGAGGAGACAAGTTGGGACCCTCTGCATGGGTTTGGTATCATATGGGATTCAGCTGCAGAGCCCACCCATGCTCCTCCAGATGTCTGTGGATCGTGAACTTGCAACGACAACTGTGGCTGGAAGCTAGAAGCTTCTGAGGTTGGGGCTTGGCTTCTGGTTCTTCCTGACCCCTCCAGCACATGGCACCATCCTGGGTCCCAGTCTTCATTCCCACAGCCCAGACTGAAAGCAATTGCATGCTTACACAGCACTTAAACAAATGATAGGTTATCATATATCCAAGAAGCCATTCCTCAAAATACTTGATCCATTCCCCAAGAGGACAGTGCTATCTCTCAGAGCCAGCATCTGCTGTCTTAGGAGGCATTCTAGAAACCTCCTTGTTCTACCTAAGTGGTTGTCTCCAAATGATACAGAGTCCATTCTACCCTTAGCCCACCCCACGGAACAGCTCCTTCAGGAATCCTCACACAGTGAGAGACTGGGTTGAAGGGAGCCCAGTACCCCGGAGTCCATGCTGAGCTTGTCAGGGTGCTCACCCCTCCATGACATATGGGTCATGTGGACTGGGTACCACTACCTGATCCTGTGTTTCTCATGGAGTCCCACGAGGGCACAGACCTGTCTGGCACACAGAAAGTCACACTCCGCCCCCCCCCCCCCCATTCCTCCATCCTGTCCACGGGGCAAGGTTCTTATAGGCTTCTCTTCGCCACTTACTCAGGACCGGTGCCCTGAGGCCTTGCCCTTCAGGCTGTAAGTAATGTCCTGATGGTACAGAAAACTGACAAGGCCAGATATGGGAGTCCTCCAGCTCTCCCTAAAATTCTTCCTGCTACCTGACTTACAAATAATTTGAGAGCTGTTCCTGTCCTTTCTACTCACAAGGACTCTGGCATGGTAACGTCAAGGGTCTTGCAGGTCTCTCAGGCAGGCTTGAGACTGTTTCCACTCTGCACATCAGGAGGTGGGGCGGAAGGCAGGGCACATGCATCGATGCTGCCAACATGCAGAGAGGATGCCTCGTGATACCACCACTGCTTTCCACAGCTCTAACCTGAGAAACATTCCAGCTTCCTAGGCAAAGCCTTGGGCTCAAGGGCTGAGTTCCCTTTGTCCAGTAACTAGGTGGCCAGTACGTTTGCAAGTACCACTGAGGACCCAAGTCCAGAGGGGTGTGGCCGCCATTGGCTGGGGGAGGAGCTGTGCTGTTGTGGAGAGAAGCCATCCATAGCTGGGACCCCCATACCCACAGGTGACCTGTGCATCTAACCACCCGGCATCCTACCACCTTGGGATCTGGTAAGCCAGAGTTGCTGATGAGTCATTACCCTTTGGACCCATGCTCCTCCCCGTTTGCTCCTAATGGGTATGGTTGTGACCCCCGCCCTGCACAAGTACTCCACCAAAGCCCATCAAGAGAGAGCTGGCTTGGGGACCCTGCCCCCTCCTACCTCATCCCAAGCTGCCAGCGGCCTTCCATTTGCTGAGTATTAGCTTAGTATCCTTGCTGGAAGGGGATTGGGAGGGGCGGGGACGTCAGAGGATGGGGGCAAGGGTGAGGTCGGTGGCCTAAAACAATTAGGCCTCTTCTGTCCCTGTTAACAAAATCTGGTTGATATAAGGTGGGTGGGGTGTGTGTGTGTGGAGAGAGAGAGAGAGAGAGAGAGAGAGAGAGAGAGAGAGAGAGAGAGAGAGAAGCGCCAGATGCTCCGTTCCTGGGCTTGGGGGTCTCCCTGCACAGCCAAGCACAATCCATCGGTACCCAAACGAGGGGCGTGCACTGGTGGTGCAGACAGTGCAACTCTAGCCCGCAGTCCATGGCTGGCCAGTGCCCAGGTCCCTGGACTACTTTAGCAGGTGGACCCGGGGCACAGAGCACGAGTTTTCAGACGAGCCTGAAAGAGCCGGAGCCGACTTCTGCAGCTAGTAGGGACAGGGGCGGATCCGGGGAGGGGCCTCGGGCCTAAGCCCGGCAGTCACCTCTGTGCTCAGCACTCGATCAGACCCGGCAGTCGGCTGTGAGTCACGACCCAGTCCATCCGGGTAAGGGGCTCGTTATGGGGCTAAGGTCGGCCAGGCGCGCTGGGGCCGAGGGGTCGGGAGTAGAGTAGTCGGGGGTGAGGGGTGAGGGGTGAGGGGCGGGGAAGAAGCGCAGTATGGAGAGCAGTGGCGTGGGGAAGGAGCACGGGAGAGGGGACGCAGGGAGAGCGTCCTGAAGGGGCAAGGAGTCTAGAGGTGTAGAGTGTGGAGTCTGAGCGTACAAGCTGGCAGACGCGCCGCACGCCGCCGCTCAAGCCACCGAGAAGCACAAGATCTAGATGGTGACTAACCGCGCAGTGTGGAGAGCGCAGGCACGACTCTTCTGCGGGTGTGGCCAGGTGTTTGCTCCGCCCCCTAGTACTTCCGCGGCTGCGGGCCCCCTTCCCGCCACGGTGGCCACGCTTTGGGGCGTGGTCAGTCTAGGTAGTCCCGCCCCTCCACGCTGCCCTAGGGCCCGCGCGGGTTTGTGGGTGTTGTAGTGTGCATGTGCGCGATCCAGACTGTCGGTGCTGACTGAATCAGGTACGGGCCTGTGGGGTGCAGAGCTGGGGAAACAGATCCAAACTGTGAGTGCCTGGGGAACAACGGGATAGCACAAGGCGCGGTTCTGGTTCTTCAGGCTTCCTGACGATGAAAGCGGGGCTCTGGCTGAGTTCTACACTAAAGGGTACTAGGGGGTCACTTGAGGCACTGAGAAACTCCGGGTAAGGTTTGCGGCGTACCTACAACCCGTGGAGTGAATGAAAAGCGCATGCGGGGTCTGCTGGGTGGAAGACCGGCAGAGATCTTTGGGATGCATAGGGGCAGTTGGGTGCGGGCCGCGGGCCGGTGTCTGCGGGGTGTAGAGTCCTTGTGTGAATGCCGAGCACAGGCGAGTACCTCAGCATTGGACGCCTAGGTTCCAGCGCAATGGTCAGTGCTGGCGGGCACCCTGGGCGCATAGTTGCAGACCGCTCCCCAGGGTAAATTCCCCAGGCTGCCTGGTGGGACCTCTGAGCGCCATTTCTCTCATCATCCCTCTGGAACCGAGTTTCTTTTGCCTTTAAAGTACCTTCCTGAGGTCAGGAATCGCCTGCCCCAGCCGCCTTAAGAGCACTTGTTGTCCGCAAGGAAACCCCGCTGCTCACGCCTGGTACGTGGCCAGTCTCCAAGCCCCATTGTTTAGCTTAGAGGTTTTAGGCACCAGACAGCTCTAACAACTTCCCCTTGGAACAGAGATTCCCGCAGCCTGCACAGCCACCTGCAGCCAGTGCTTGGTGTGCTTCCAGCATCTCTGTGACAGGAATCATTCCCAGGACTCCGTCCACATTCCTCTTGAAAACTCTTGAGGAGTGTGGCTAATAGCCTGAGCAGCAACCATATTCATGAAAACTCCTCACCCTGTGAAGCGCCCAGGCCCGACCTGCCTGTCTTCAGTATGCAGGTCAGAACCTAAGCAGGCCGTGAAGGAAGTTGTTTTGTGGCTTCCCTCCGTGAAGATAGACTAAATCTATCAGTTGCTTGCCTGACTTTAAAGAAGTAGCCTCCTCCCAGGGAGACTTGAGGACATGAACCCCAGCAGCCCAGATGAACCAAGCAGAACACAGGCAGATACTGCGACCTAGCAGAACCACATGTACCCCACAACAAGGGACTGCTTTGCACCTGCCGACTTCTTTCAGAGAGGCCTGTGTTCTGAATAGGCCGAGGCAAGAGGTGACTCTGGGCATCAGAGCCTGTGGCAAAGATACATTCAGCACTCAGCTTTCACAATGGGGGGCAACAGGGCTCCCCCACCCCCCTAACACGAGCCTTCCAAGATTAAAATAAACCTTCCTGTTTTAAGACAAAATGAAGGTGCTGTTTACTTTCGCTTTGATTTCGGGGTGCCATGGAAAGAATTTTGTGAATGGATGTGTTCCACACTCCCTACCTGGTCTTCTCTAGGTTGCTCAGAAAGGACTGTGTCAAGCCCCTCCCCTATACCACAGCCCTACAGGGCTGCCGAGGGTTTCTTTCAGTTGCCTGGAAGAGGTTGCAGGTTATGAAGCAACACTGCATTCGTATGGGGTATGGAGTCCAGGTTCAGATGTCATGCCTGCGTGGCATGAGCTCCTTCTACATTCAGTTTCTTCAGCTAAGCCGATGACGGGATCTCCCATCTTGCCTCTCGGGATGGGTTTTGTCTGAACTGAGCCTAGCTCTGCTAGGAAGAGCAACCTGGGCGCTGCTGTAGAAAAGGGAGGCATTGCATCATAGCCCGACTGACTCTGTAGGAATGATGCTGCCTAGGGTAGAGTAGAATAAACCGACTGGCAGTCTCTGCCTAGGTAACAGTCCGGGGCTTTAACAGTCCCTGGTTCCTAGTCACCAGGCAAGTAGGCATTTCTGTTGAACAGGTGTTTAAGGTGAAGGCATGGTCTGGCACTGGACTGTAGCCTTGCAATTGGTTCCCCAGAAATAGGAGATGCCTGTGTGTCCCCTGTGAGCACATCCTTGCCAGTCATGTGGTTTGAGAATAGTCCCTGAGATCTCAGAGGATCTTGCTGTGATGGGGTCATGTCCCCTTGAACAGATCTGAGTGTGGGCTTGGTGGGTAGGTAGGGTTTTCAGGACCTTAGAGGACAAACAGGAGTCCATTTCTTGGGCCTTGAGCACGAGAGCCACTTGCCCATCTGAGCAGCAGTCAGGGTGATGCAGCTCTTCCAATCTGATAATCCTAGATGTTCGTGTCATGTGGGTTCTAGGAGTTCTTGGAGTGACCCTCTTCCAGCTGTGGCTGGGCATTGAAGTTCTGAAGCCAGATCTTCAGACAGACCCCTGGGTAAAGCCGTGATAAATTCACTGTGTCCAGCTCCGACCCCCATCCACCTGGGTGTAGAAGCCTCAGGAGTCTATGAAGCTATATGTATGGGGTAATATGGAATTTGCTCTTTACTGGTGTCTGATAACGTCTGCTGTCTCTGGATACCAAAGGACACCAAGTAGACATGTTCCTTTCACCTCTGGGGATGGCACCTTTCCGATGAGGGCCAATTCCTGGGGCTTCCTAAGCCCATTCTGGGCACAGAGTCCTAGACTTAGCTACATTCCTGGCCACCACTGAGCCTGGGGACTGCTTTGGTTGAGCAAATGCAGTTGCCATGGACAATTGTTTAATCTGGCCAGCCCCAGCAATATGTGCTGGGGAACTGCTGAGCTCTGTTTGCATCTGCCTTGGCCTTTCTGGAGGGGTCAATGCCAAGGACTGAACCTCCTGGGTACCCTGTCCTCCTCGGCTGTTTGTGTAGCTCTGGGGAAGTTTTGAAAAGCAAGGCCAAGCAGGACAGAGGTCAGTCTGTCCAGCTGAGGAGCTGAAGCCTGCGTTTGTGTCTTCTCCAGCCAGGCCCCCTGCCTGGCTGCTTGTTTCCATTTGGGTCCTGTCCCAGGCTCTGTAGCTTCCGGGGCCACATTCCTGCCTTCTGGACCCCTGGAATTATGTACCCTGGCTCGCCCTTCCTTGCAGTTCCCAACAAGCAAACCCACAAACCCCTGCTTCTTTAGGGGCCCAGGTGTTACCCAGCTTTTGCCTTATCACAGAAACAGGATTTACAGGAAGGGCTCCTGGGCAGTCCTTACAGCTGCATGGTATAACTCTGAGTCCCAGTGGGACAGCACACACTGAGGACCCTACAGGTCCCTTTTCTTTCTTGAGCCTCTGTGTTTTGTGGGAACTCAAGAGGACATCCTAGGTCTTAGTGTAGGGTCCGTTGACTGAGAATCTGAACCCCCAAAGTTCTTACATCAAGAGAGTCTTCATTTGTCCTCTGCTCAGGGGTTGGAGAGGGTTCTACCCTAGTCCGGATCTGCAGATACTTCCTGGAGCAGACTGTAGTGAGGAACCTGTTATAGAGGAGCAGGCCATCAGTATAGCTCCCCCCCCCCATGCCACACACTGCCAACCTATCTTAGCTCCCCAGCTCCTATATACGATACCCACCCTCTACTCCAGGAGCAGGATAGCTTTATGATAACTCCCTTTTGACCTACACCAGTGCCCTGTACAGAAAGCCTGAAGCACATGAACCTGTGGCATAGATGCGGCTGTACAAATGAGCCAGGATAACGTGGGGTCCTGATGAGGGGATGCTGCTGCTGCCTTTCCGTTAGGAGATTGGCAGTGACCACCTACACCAGAGCAGCCTGTGTCCGGGACAGAATCAGGGAGAGAAAAACACACTGTCCAGGCTAGTCCTTATGCACCACAAATACCTGAGAGTGCTTTGGGCCTGTATGGCGTGAGGTCAGAAGGTCAGCAACTAGACAGGCCACACTGGTGGCTGGACTCCACCTGCCTTTGGGAGGAAGCCTGTAGTCATCTGAGCGTCAGCTCCACCCCCTCCTCAGGCTTCAGTCTGTTTCACTCTCGAAGTCCTACAGAGAACTATGGAGTCCCACAGGTCAGCTCCTACTCTGTCCCATAATCCTTTCCAGAGCTTGCTTTGCCTTGCCCATGGTGACTGTAAGCTCCTGGTGAACTCCTGCCCTTCCCCCACTGCCCCTCCTTCTTATGACAAGTGTTCTTTAGAACTGTATTCCCCTGCTGTGGGGAGAATGCATGTCAGATCTGTGTACTCATAGCCACCCCCACTGACCTCCCTGTTGTGTCTTGGGGCACCTCTGGTGTCCTAGCCTAGCAGAGCCCCCTCCTCTTGTCCTCGCTACGCCCAGGATACCGCTAGAACAGTCGCTATCAACACCAACTGACACCAGCTGTTCCTAAGACCTGTAGGGCCACAGGCTACCAAGCCCCTGGAATGAGGCTGAGGTGCTTCCAAACCTGGATTTTAAATGTTATTCACTTACGTAATAAAGTAAGATAATCAGTTTACATGACTTTGATTAACAGTTAAATAGGTCTAGGTGACTGAGGCTTGGCTTTGCTTGAAGACTCCTGGAGGCTGTGCTGGCCTGGTCTGAGGGATTAGGCTCCTAGTAGTTCTTAGGTTGACAGAGCCGGTTGATTTGGGTGTGGGGCCAGCAGCCCCTGAGGTTGACACTGGGTCTCAGCAGAGAGATTGGGGACTAGAGTGTCCCTGTGGGCTCCTTTGCTAACCCCAGACTCTTGGCTTTTCCTTCCAGGTGGAGTGCCATCTTTGGTCACCTAGTCTCATGAGGAACTGGGCAACATGGTGCCCAATGGCCAGGCGGCAGAAAAACAGGCATGCGAGGATCCCAGGCAAGACCGTGAACTCAAGTCCTGGCGATGTCTCGTGTTCTATCTCTGCTTCTTTGGCTTCATGGCACAGCTGCGGCCTGGGGAAAGCTTCATTACGCCCTACCTCCTGCAACGTAACTTCACAATTGCGCAGGCATGTTGTCGTCGGAGGGTAGGGGAGTAGCGGTGTGGGCTGGGAGTTCTTTTCCTGGTTTGATATATATTTGCAGCTAAGGCTGCAGGAGACTACAGGGGCCGGAGAAACTGAGTTGGTCCACCCTAAACCCCCCCCCCCACCTGCTCTACTTGGCTTTGATTTGTTAACCCAGCCAGACTACGTGTCACTGGGCTCCAAGAGAGGAAACTTGTGCCTGCTTTGGGGATGAGGAAGAATGCAGATGAAGGAGTGCTGACCTTTACTGCCGGGGTGGCTCATCTGCCATCCTGGTGAGAGAGCCCATGTCCAGCTACGCCCCACCTTGCTTGGCACCTGCCTCCGGGAGGGACTCAGCTGTTTATGTAAAGAGATTATTGAAGGCATTTTCTTCTTACTCAGCCACGGGAACAGAGGGTCCTATTGAAACTCTGCTAATGAGCTTAAATCCAAGCAGACCGGGAAGTTGTTTATTTTTTGAACTTGTGCTTCATGCCATCTTTTGATAGGGCTAGATGAAGAAGGGGGAAGAGAAGTCTCTGAGGTGTGGCTCCCTAGCTGCCTGAGGTAGCCTGCAGCTGGCCTGGGGATGTCAGCAATCCATCTCAGCTTGAGACCTCCCCTCCATACTGACCCAGGTTCTGTTTTGAGTCCTTGTTGCTAGTGGTTGGACTGAGTTAGCCTTAGCATGGGAGTCATTGGGACCTGAGTCCCCGCCTCTGGGAGCCTGGGAGTACCCATCCGGCTCCCCTATGTGCCCATTAGTCAGATTTAAAGTGAGGTCTAAGGGGGTCCCTGCTGAAACTCATCCTGGCCTAGGAGGAAGTGCCAAGGGAGAGGTCAGGCAGACATCTGGGCCTCACTGAGATAGAGGCTCTCCCTGCAGAGCATCCAGGGGGCCTAAGGCACCTGGTTTGGTCAGCCCATGCTACTACTGGGCCCTGGCACCTCCCCAGGCAGCAATGTGGAGTCTGAGACAATGCCTTCTGACCTCCGCCCTGCAGCAGGTAGCTCCCCCATCTTGAGCCACAGCAGGAGCGAGGTGAGGGTGGCCCCCAGAAGTTAGCCTCGGTGAAGGCCGTGAAGGTTGGATTTTGCAGGCAGCATGTCCACTTCTGCCTTATGGGGTGGGGTAGAGGGATGGCCTTGTCCTCCTCCAGCCTCCCTCCCCTGTGTCCTGCCTAGCTGTCTGCTGTGCTCCCCCACCCCCACCCCAACCCCGTTACTATTCTCTTGCTCTTCCTTTTCTTCCTGTAAAGAACTGAAGAAATCTGTACTGGGGTCTCCTGGCCATTGTACTATTTTCTACTTAGGTTTAAGAAGAGTGCCAGTCAGAAAGCTTGGGTTAATATGACCCACATGCAATGAATGGTAGTTGCTCCCAGTTTGCTAGCTTTCTGTGGGTTGGGCCTGGAGTCTGCAGTTTCTTAGGCTGGAAGACTGTCTTGGTTCCTAGACACCCTTGGATCCTGAACAGCCAGGTGTGGACATGGAAGGTACATTTGTCGTCATTAGGGAGACAGGGGCAAGAAAGAATTTGGCTTGCTAACTCTACTGGACTCAGTGGAGCAGCCAGTGTCGCTAATAACCAGTACTTGCCTACCCGCAGGTGACCAATGAGATCATTCCGGTGTTGCCCTACTCTCACATGACCGTGCTGGTGCCAATCTTCCTGCTCACAGACTACCTGCGATACAAGCCCGTCCTGGTCCTGCAATGCCTGAGCTTTGTATGTGTCTGGCTGTTGCTGCTGCTGGGCAACTCTGTACTACACATGCAGCTCATGGAAGTCTTCTACAGCATCACCATGGCCGCACGTATCGCCTACTCCTCCTATATCTTCTCCCTGGTGCAGCCCTCCCGCTACCAGCGCATGGCCAGCTACTCAAGGACAGCCGTGTTGCTGGGAGTCTTCACCAGCTCTGTGTTGGGCCAGGTGCTGTTGTCCCTGGGATACCAGTCCCTCAACTACATCTCCCTGGGCTTTGTCATCTTCAGCCTGGGCCTCTCCCTCTTCCTAAAGCGACCTAAGCACAGCCTCTTTTTCAACCGCAGTGCACTGGTGCGAGGAGCCTCGCCCTGTGAGCTGGACCAGATGCACCCGGGCCCTGAGCGACCAGAGCCCAGGAAACTGGAGCGAGTGCTGGGCATGTGCAAAGACTCCTTCCTGGTGTGCATGCTCCGTGAGGTGGTGGAAAATGCACGGCAGCCCCAGCTGCGCCTCTGGTGCCTCTGGTGGGTCTTCAACTCTGCTGGCTACTACTTGATTTCGTACTACACGCATGTCCTGTGGAGAGAAGCTGACCGAAAGCTCAACTACAATGGTGCCGTAGACGCTGCCTCCACGCTGCTGAGTATGCGCTGGAGGCCCCTTGTCCTTCCCAGCTGGGTTGTAGTCCAGCCCTATCACTTGCCCTGGGCTAGACCACCAACATAGGCTGTCCTGTGCTTTGCCCTACCCTGCCCTATTTCCAGAGCCACCCTAACTAAGCCTGAACCCCTACCCATCTGTCCCATGATTCTACTTGCCTAAGCTCAGCCATGGCTGATGCTTCCTACCTCCAGGCGCCATCATGTCCTTCTCCGCGGGCTTTGTGAAGATCCGTTGGGCTCTGTGGTCAAAGCTGGTCATCGCAAGTGTTATAGCCATCCAGGCTGGGCTAGTTTTCTGTATGGTTATCATGTCCACCAACATCTGGATACTCTACGTGGCCTACGTGCTTTTCCGTGGGGCCTACCAGTTCCTTGTGCCCATTGCCACGTGAGTAGGATGGTATGGGGAGAGGCTTCTGGAAGGTTCTGTTGGGGAGCACAAGGCAATGTGGACAGTTGTGTGGGAGGTCTAACCCGTCTAGACACTCAGCTGTGTCTACTGCATTGGCTTTCCTGGGCCCCACAACCCCCGTAAGGACAGTGAATCCGCTACCTCCCCCAGTTCCCTCCCATCTCCGCCAGTCCTTCCTGAACCTCTCTATAGTGTTGCTGACCCATAGGCTACCTAAAGTTGACTAGCATCCCACCTCCCTCTCCTGTTGTCCCTTATCCTCACCTTGGAGACCCTGTTACACTTTTTTGCCGGCATTTGGCCTGCCCCTCTCCTGGGCTTGCCCCACGTGCTCTCCCAGCTCCTCTGAACACTGTTGCAGAGTTTGATGGTACTTACTGCAGGTGATCTCTCCGGATGGCACTAGCATGCCTTTCCTGAGACCCTATCCAGACTGGAACTGAGAGAGCACACACTGCTGAGTGTTGAGGACACACTCAGCTCATGCCACATAGGCATCAATCATGCTTACAGAGCTGGGTGTGGTGGTGCATGCTTTTAATCCCAGAACTCAGGAAGCAGAGGCAGACTGATCTCTGAGTTCCAGACCAGCTAGATATATGGTGAGACCTTGTCTAAAAGAAACTCAAAATAGACTCTCAGACATATACTCATATCACCAAACAGACAACACACATACACCATCCATTCCATGTGAACCGGCACCATACAATCTATGTGTACAGTGTCCATGTACATGGGTTAGCATACCACATGCTACAGATAGATAGATAGATAGATAGGTGGATGGATAGATGGATAGACGGATAGATAGATAGTCACAGATATACACAGATTTCATACACCATATGTACTTAACACTGCACTGTGCATAGCATATGTACATGTGCTCACACCACACACAGGCACTTGCCTTCTTTTGCCTCCCTGTCCTCTACCCCTCTGGAAAGACTTTGGCTCTTACCTCCCAGGGCTGCATAATTCTAACACTTTCCCTCCTTGGACAGCCTGCTCACATTCTCTGGCCACAGCCACTGGCATACTTCTTCTCTCTCTGGCCACACAGCCACGGGCATACTTCTCTCTCTGGCCACACAGCCACGGGCATACTTCTCTGGCCACGTACTCCCGCCTCCTGAATTGAGAGTACCTTTCCGTTCCCAGTCTCCTGGAGTCAGTCTCTCTAAACACGTCCTGAGCCCCACTCCTACCCTGGGTCAGCTACCGTTCATTGGTGGGTGGGTATAGGGAGAGGCTGGGACCAGGAGCAGTGCTGTGCACAGCTGTGCTGGATTGGGGCTGGAGTAGGGGACTTGGTAGTTGTGGATGGGGATTTTAGAGTTGTGTGTCCAGGAACTTAACCATGAGTCTGGTGGTGGGTGGGGTTGTGTGACTTGGTACGTGGTGTGTCCCTGAGTAGATGAGGAGTCTCCCCGGTTCTGTGTTCTTCGTTTATTTGTTTGTTTGTTTAATTAGATAGCATCTCACTGTGTAGACCAGACTGGCCTGGAATGACAAAATTCACCTGCTTCTGCCTCCTGTGCTGGGTGAATGACCATGAATGACATTTGTCACCGTTCCCAGTCTGACTTTGTTCTTGCCCCTCCCTGTCCTACTCAGTGAGTTTGAGTAGCTTGAGTATGTTTTGGGTTCTTTGTTCGGTTGTTTGGTTGGTTTTTGGTTTTTCGAGACAGGGTTTCTCTGTGTGGCTCTGGCTGTCCTGGAACTCACTCGGTAGACCAGGCTAGCCTCTAACTCCGAGATCCGCCTGCCTCTGCCTCCCGAGTGTTGGGATTGAAGGCGCACGCCAGCCATCACCTGGCCACAGTGTGTTTTTCACCTCTCAGTTTTCAGATCGCGTCTTCCCTGTCTAAGGAGCTCTGCGCCTTGGTCTTTGGGATCAACACATTCCTTGCCACCGTGCTCAAGACCGTCATCACACTTGTGGTCTCCGACAAACGGGGTCTGGGCCTCAGTGTTCAGAGACAGGTAAGCCCCATCTTCAGTCTCATCTTTGGGGGAGGGAATCCATTATGTGGCCACAGCAAGGCCTCCTGGCATCCACGTTCTGTGATCCCTTCTCAGAGAGCACAGATCCATCCTCACGGGAGTATACAGAATGTGGCCCACATCGGAGCAGGGAGCGAGACTCTTGGGACAGGCTCACATTTCCAGGGGCACTTGATGTGGCAAGGTTAGCCACTTTTATCTACCCACGAGCCTCTACCCTGCTCCTGTCCAGGTTGGACTTAGCCCCCAAGTGGCTGGGCCTCCAAGGTTGACTGAATTGTCAGCCATTTCTGAGGAGTCTTTATCAGATCTTGAATGTCCTTTCCGGGGCCTGTGTCACTGAAAGTATACCGTCACAGTTCCTTGCCTTTTATCTCACACGTAAAGACCTGATAGCCTTAAGCCCAGGTTGAATGATAACTGAAGTGTCCATATCCAGGAGGGAGCTAAGGCGGAGCTACTTGGTTGGAGTTGGCATCAGGTGGCATTGGCCTATTGACTTCTCTTGGGATACTTAGTTTTCCCACCACAGCCAGCATTTTTCTTGTATCTGAGAAAACTTGACTCTTCTGTGAGGGGGGCGTTGTGATGGAGGAACTGGGCATCTACCAAGCCAAATGGGCTTGGTAACATGAGAGGGAGTGGTAACCGAGCTCCTTAGTGACTGCCCCAGGCTGTGGCTGGGCAGTGTCTTAGCAACCTGTGAGAACTGTTGGTCTTCCTGGAGCCCAGGTTTCCCTTGCCTGGAGGCCTGCCAAGGTTGGTTGGTGTATGTTCATGAAAAAGTCCCAACCCGCTGAGGATCCCTAGTTGGTACAGCCTTGTCACTGAGTCTGGCTGGCCAGTGAGGAAGCACAGATGGAGCAGGTGTTTGCAGATGCAGAAACAGACCATCCCGCTGGGAAGCTGGCTGGTACGATTTGAATAGACCTTTGAAGTGGGGATGCCAGAGTCTTGCCATGTAAAGCTTGGATCTGCTCCAGCCTGGCTAAATCCCTCGGTGCACACCCCTTCAGGCTGGACCCAGAACAGGCAAGTCTTTCTTGACCCACAGGGTGGTAGATCCAGACTGAGAAGCGGACATAATTCCCCGATACCACCCAGCTGCTCTGTGTACCCAAGAGCCTTGGGTTGACTCACAGTACTGGGTGAGGTCCTGGGTGGGTTGGGCTAAGAAACAGTTCACTGGCTTGGAAGGGCGTAAGTTCCTCCTCGGGGAGACTGTCTCTGTCCTTAGATGAGTAGTGGCTCCTCCAGTGGGAGAGCCGTCCAGAGAAACCCCGGGGGGAACCTAGTGTGGCCCAGCTTACGCTCACCATGTGATTTGTCTTTCAGTCACTGGCCTCTAAGGCTGGTGTGCTCCTTCTGTCTCCCGTCTCCCTCCACAGCCTTCCTCTCATTCAGACTGTGGGAGTCAAAAGGGTGGGACTTAGAGACTCGTGCTGCCTGTGTTCCCCCTCTTGCTTATGCCCCCCACCCATTCCAGCTACCCTGCAAGAGGCCCCCTTGCTAATGAGCCTCAGAGGAGTGGGGTACGGGGCTCAGTAGGAAGGGTACTGGATCAGCTCTTTCTCAAAGGCCACCAGAGAATCCCTTCCCTTCTTGGGGGCCCTTGTTCAGTCCTACTCATTAGCACAGACTGTATCTGGGGACCCCATGAGGGACGAGGGGCATTCTGGCTTTAGTCCCTGCTTCCTCCAGTCAGAGTGTGAGACGGGTACTGGCTTTTCCCTGGCTAGTGTCCTTCTGAGCATTGGGTTTTGTTCACAGTCAAGAGAGACACAGTCTCCTGCTCTGCCCTCTCCTGCCTCGCACCCTGAGTTCAGACAAGGGCCAGGGCAGAAGTTCAGGCAGTGGGACCAGAGCCGGAGACCACTGAGAACCAGGGTGGAACTTGGGACTGTGGCTGGGAGTCAGCCTCGATATTTGCTCTGTTTTTTAAGTTTGGCTTCATCCTACCCAGAAATCATGCAGCGATTCAGGTGCCTCGTGCTGTTCTCCTGCATTAGAGTCAGGATGTGATGTTCAGTCAGAATCCAGAAGATGTCACACACACACAGAACCTTAGGGTTGTTACATAGCCATAGCTACTCCCTTATCAACCCTAGAGATAGCTGTTCTCCCGGGCAGGTGACAGCTCTATTCTCCCGTGTGTGTGAGCTTCTCTGAGACAAGGGCAGATGGCTTCTGTAATTGCTGCAGGCTGTCAGTGTACCTGGGATAGCTGCTGACCTCGGAAGCACTATGGGCTGTGTTCAGTCCTTGGATATTACAAGTTCTTTCCTAGGTTTGGTGTGAATGTAGGGTTTATTTCTCTGGAAGGAGAGCCCGGAAGTGGAACTGAGGGTTCCCAGTGGGAGCTATTCCCATCTCACCAGCAGGGTATGAGAACCATTTCCCCAGATCGTGATCAGCATGCGATGCTACTTTTCCCTATTAGCCATTCTCATGGGTTGTTTTTAATTTGTGTTTTTTCCCCTTGAATTCACTTATGAAACCAGAAACCAAACTTGTGTTGTCTGTCTCTTTAGGAGCCAATAGCGGGCTGGTGTTTGGCGACTGCACGTGTATTACATTACCAGTTATGTGCCGTGTGGCAGCTACATCACCACGCCCTCTGTTGTTGACAGGCCACTTGCCCTGATGTTTTGCACATAGACCTTCAGAATCTCCTAAGACAGTGTTAATCAACTTAACTTTTCACCATCAAATTTAACGTAGAAAAGACAAGCCAGGCATGTGGAGGGGGCTGAAGCAGAAAGATTATGAGTTCAAGGCCACCTGAGCAAAGCAAGAACAAACAGAAATCAAGGACAGGAAGGGCAGGGTTTTGTTTGCTGTGGGGTCTCCTGTGGGAGTCCTTCCTCCTGTTTCATGAGCTCATCTCTCGTCAGTTCCTCTTGGTTCTGCTTCTTTGGCCTGAATCTTTGATTCCTCTTCCATCTCTCACCTCTCCTGATACCGTCTCCCTTTTTGTATTTCTGGGGCATTGTTGCTGCTTTGCTGACCCCTTTCATGGTTGCTCTGCAAATCTTTCTCAGATGACTTCAGGCCCTGCCGAAAGCATGAGGTCTGCAGCTCGGATGTGCTGAGCTGCAGCAGAGGTCAAAGACCTCTCGGTGTTGTGTGTTGAAGCTAAGGGGTCTAATGCCTAATCCTCACAGCCCTGGCAGTGCAGGTTGGTGCCCTTTGGGTAGAGTAGTAATTCTAACTCCCATAGTGGACCCCTCACTGCCCAAGGGCAGGACATCTTATTTCTTCTGTTCAATGGCATAAGGTCAATTCCACGTGGTCCCCTCTAGTGCAGAGGGCAGCGAATACCTCATAACTGCCAGATGTGTGTGTGTGTGTGTGTGTGTGTGTGTGTGTGTGTGGTAGGTCCAGTCACTGACACTGAATACTGACCTTATAAGGAACAAGGGTGAGAAGTGGGGTCATTACCACCCCATGGGATGCAAGTTTCTTCCTAGGAGTCTTGTCTGGCCCCACCCCACATCCTTTGATTTTGCTGTGCCTGAGGTAGGGTCAGGTGCTTTCAGAAAAATGTCTGGAAATGTACCTTGTCCTGGTACCTGCCCTCTAGCTGGGCTCTATCTGTGCTGGCTCTGTGGATAGAGAGAACAGCTATTCTGGACTTCTGACTGCTTCAGCTCAAGATCCATGAAACAAAAAGAAATAGCCAGCACTTGCCACTTGCTGGATCCTGAGGCTGGCTGATGCTTTTCTCCTCCCACCCCCAGTGAGTGTTGCCCACAGCACCCAGGGGTTTGATTGACCCGGGAAGAACGGGGAAAGGATGTCCATCCTGTCTTCTTGGGAACAAAAGTCTCTCATGAGTCATTTCTGGTTTACTCCAAATGTGGTCTTTTATGAAAGGGTCCCAAGGGGCTTCAGGATACTCACCTACCTCCAACTGGATCACTGCAAGTTCCAGGACCTTCATGGACATTTGACAGTAGTTAGGTTCCTCCCTGGGAGGAACATATCTGGTCCTTCAGGAAGGGGCATGACCTGTGCATGCCTGGCTCTTCTTGGTCACTGCTGTGCCAAGCAAGTCAAGGTTGTGCCCAGTTCCGATTAAGGCCAGGACCTAGAAGCCTGGATCATTGTCCTGGGGGCTAAGAAAGTCAGTTTCATGCATTAGAACCTGGGGACCAGTCCCCGAGGACCACACAGATGTCAGACCTATGTCAGACAAAAATCCCTGGGGAAGTGATAGGTACCCTTTGTAGTTGACCATGCTGTGGGGGATAGAGGGCAAGGGACCAAGCACTTTGGTATCTTCCCTTGGGCAAGGCCTATGACTCCTCTGGCCACCTGGTGGCTGAATGATGGAGAACCTTGCCCCTAGATGGGGCAAGAGCCGGCAGGGGTGGGGGAACAAAAACCTTAGGTCACCCAAACTCTCTTTCAGTTCACTATCTACTCCATGTACTTCCTGGTACTCTCCATCATCTGCTTTGTCGGGGCTGCGCTGGACGGCTTGAGGTACTGCCAGCGGCGGCGCCACCAGCCCCTGCCCCTGCCCCAGGAGCTGAGCCCCTTGGAGAATTCTGTGCAGGTACTAAGCCTGCAGGATGGAAACCTAAAGGGACCACAACCCTCAGCACCACCGCTACTCCCAGAGGATGGTGTGGAGGACAGCGTGGCAGGCTTGAGACTCGAAGCCAAGGCCTGACCCATCTTGACCTTCCTGGCTTCATCCCAGTTCAGCGGGAAGAACTCCTGACTCAAGCAAGCAACCCCTCCCATGTACCTCCATCCTGAACCAGCCTGGGCGGGATGCTGTAGACAAGACTGTACTGTCTTGAGTCCCACTGCCCAAGGCATGTGGGCAGTGTGTTGCCTTCAGGAACCCCTGAAATGTTCACAGGATTCACCTTAGGAGCCACCTGCTTTAACTGCGGGACAATAGTTTGTCCTTGCTGATAGCCTCTGAGGACCCTAAACCCAGCCTACTTCCTGCTTTAGCTGTGGCCAAAGCCCGCTGGGAACACTCAGAGCAGCTGCCTGGCTTTATGGGACCCATATGCCAGGCCACTGTGAACCTGAATTGCCTATTGCTTGCCAGGAAGAGCCTGTATTGGGGTCAACTGCGCCTACCAGGCCAGCTCGCCCTTAGCCCTTGGAAGCTCAGGACAAATTATCTCTGTCCCCAGGGCTAGTGGGGTACAGACACCAGCCAAGGCACGCTGGCCCTGCAGAGTGCTGGTCCTTCTATATCCTGGCTTCTGGCTATGCTGTCACTTCCATCATAGGAGGTGCTTGTCTGGATGACTATCTGATTTTTTTTTAAATAAAAATAAAAAAAAAACTGACATTAAAATTGAGAGCTCCTTTTGGTTTTTCTCTAGTGAAAAGCTGGAGTCAGGGGTTGATTAGCCTCAGCCAAAGCAAGGATACATTGCAGAGACTAGGCCCTCGGTGTCCTTGAGTTGACCTCCAGCTCCACTGCAAGATCTGACCCCCCTAGGGCATGCACGTCATATCCGTTCTGGCTGACTAACTCAGCAGAGAACCAAATTGCTGGTTATGGGGGCTGCTGAGTCAATTATGCCTCTAGGACCTACCCAGAGGTCCACTTGAGAAAGGTCATCTTGGGGACCCTGGGCTGAGGAAGAGGCTACAATCAGGGCTGGCCAGACATCCAACTAGTGATGGTTTGTGAGAACACTGGGCCAGCTGCATTCACGTCTGCCGCAGCACCCTGAGAGCCTTACTGGGGAGGGCTAGTTCCATCCCTTCTGGGCTTGGGGATCTTGTAGGACACGACTGATGGACACAAGCCTTGTCCTTTGCTTCAGGCAGAGATAGTGTGTGGCCACCCCTGCTATGCCCGTTCACCCGGGGCAGCAAGATGAGCCTCTCGCAGCCAAAGCCCTCCCCCGCAGCACCTGCCCACCCTGGCCTGCGGCTCTTTAGCCCTCACCTGGTGACCCATACTGGCTGAAGACGGTCACCTCTCTTATCCTGGGCCATTCTGTCAGCCACCAGCTGTTCTCCACTTGGCTGGAGGCTTTGGACATGGCCTTCTCTATTTGGCAAGCACAGTCTCTTAGAGTCAGCCTCGGGATGAAACAGTGAATACAAGAGGATCTTGGGCCCAATGAACAAATCTCTGCAAAATTTGGAGATTTATTTTATCCGTGTGAGTGTTTTCTTGTGCATGCACGTGTGTATGTATGTGTGTGTATCACATATGTGCCAGGTGCCTGTGGAGGGCAGAAATGGGTGTCAGATTGCCTGGAACTGGGGTGATGGATGGATGGATGGGATTTAAGTTGCCATGGGGGTGCTGGGAGCTGAACGCTGATCCCCTACAAGACCAGCAAGTACTCTCAATTGCTGAGCCATCTCTCTAGCCTCCTCGACATGATTTTGAAGTCACCTCATGTGCATTGCTGGGTACCAGATGGCGGGTACTGACGGCATTTGTACACATCTGTGCAATACATTGTATACCTGTGTATGCCCGCACACCTTGTACATACACACTTGCATATGCCTTTGTACACATGTGCACAGACATCTGTGTAACTAGGCATACCATGCACACCTCTGTGTACCACATACGTACACAACACACACACATTTATGCCTGCCATTATATGCCTCTGCACCCTTGTGACAACCATGCACATTTGTGTCTAACTGTGCCTAGTCTTTGTATACCCTACCCATCCAAACCTGTGCGTATACACACCTGACCACGTGTGCCACCACATGTACACATGCATGTCTGTTTGTAGAGGCCCGTATCCATGGACACATGACTATATCCACACTCACCTGTACTCCCTCTGTGGGCCTCCAGCTGGGGAGCGCAGGGACAGAGGCTCCCACGTCTCATTTTGGATGATTTGTCCTTTTCGTAACAGGGAAGGCAGCTATAAACCAAGTGTCTGTATAAAAGGTCACTTTTATTTGGTACCTCTTCGAAATGGCTTCATATCACACAGTCACAGAACTAGCCCCATTGGATTTGTCCCCATCCTTGGACATCAGAGCCTGAGGCAGGCATGGTGGCTCTGATCGGCCACTTGTGGCCCTGAGCACACATGTCTCTCCGTCAGAGAGGTGTTTTGTGCAGCTGCTTCAAGATTCGTGGGCCTCGGGCTGGTGAGCAAGGACAGGGTGCTCTCGGAACCTAGCTCTTGGCCTTGGTTGGGCTTGGGTTTCACTCTGGATGGGATCTCATGGGTCACCAGGGAGGCCAGTCTGAGAGACCAGCCTGAGGGTGGGCCCCATGTCGCATCTGGCCCCCAGCAAAATGAGCATGCGGCCTAAGCCTGACCACACTCCTGGCCTCTGCACAGTGACGGGACAGGGTTCAGATCCGGTCGTCACAGTGAGTACTAAGCTTGGAAACCAGCTCTGGCGGGAAGTGTTGTTACTGGAGACAGGGGGAAGCAGAAGAGGTGGTTCCCACCAATCAGCATGGGTGGTCCCAGTTAGCACCTGGGTGAGCAGGTGCCTGCCTGTACTGTTGGCAGTCACTGGGTGCTGAGAGGAAAGTCCCAGCTGCCCTGCGCTGTCCCGTGGTCTGTCCCCAGCACGCACATGGGACTGCCTTTTAAAGGCTCTGTGCCCGGAAAGATGCCAGGTTAGAGAAAGTCAGCAGGCTTGGGGCAGCAACCCTAGGGCAGTCCCCTGCCGACACCCAGCTATGGCCTGACTTCGCCCTAGAGCTCCACCAAGCATGGAGGAAGATCTGTGACCCCAGCCTGGCCAGTTCAAGTGGGAGAGGAAGAGCAGGAAGTCTATTTTAAATGTTTAAAAAAATATACTCTTTGGCTTCCTTTTATTTCTCGAGGATTACATAAAGTGTGAACTACACAGGATCGTATCCCAGCCAGGCCCTGGGCGCTGACCAGATGCTCCCTGCACTGTGTCCGTCCTGTGCCTCCCTGTCCACCATTCTAGCTGGCAGAGGCCCTACTTGGAGAAGGAAGTCATGAAACTATTCTCGATGCACAGGACAATGTAGGCGTTGTGGCAGCTCGCAGCTCTCTGTTCCAGCAGCCTGCCTGACAGCAGGGAGGAGGCCTGACCTGTGGCCTCACTGGCCTCAGTCCGCCATGTCTCACAGTAATTCTCCATCAGCCTGCGCCCGCTGGGGTCTGAGCCGTGCCATATACTCTTCTGAGGCCTGCAAGGCATAGAGGCTGTCAGCAACCTGCAGGCCTGTCCTTCCAGGTCTGCCCTCTGGAGCAAAGAAGATGGGAGGCCAGCCGCTATATTTGGGGGCAGTGGGACGACAGTGAAGAGCCCCTTAAGGACTTAGGTCACTTCCCAGATGTGTACTCTTGCAGAGAAAGAGGGTGTTGGGGTGTAGCCTGAGCCAGGGGATCTCTGGGCTAGCCTTTAACCCACTGACAAGACCAGGCTTCTGAAACTCTTGTTTGATAAATGCTAGGAGTGAACCCTGCTGCCAGGGTTTAGCCACTCAGCTCTGCCCACGGCTCATGTAGGGGCCAGGAGGGCCCTCGTGAGTGGGGAAAGCAGATGGTCAGGACTCAACTGCCGCCTAGGGACTTTTGTCTAGCTCCCCGAGCCACCCTTCAGAGAGCACAGTCATTGGAACAGGTGTCTGAGCTGCCAGGTGTAGAGACCCTGGGTAGGACGCCATTCTGAAGATAGCCCAGCCGTTTGTCAGCATTTCCGGTGCATTCTGTGACCAAGGGCTAAGGGCACGGGAGCTGTCTTGCAGAATCCATCCTTTTCCATGACACTTACATGGTGAGCAGTAGAGTTAATTTAAGTAGTCACAGGTGATGAACAAACATACCTGCCATGGCTTTGAGGGTGCTGACGGGGTAGTGTTTGAACATACTGTGGCCAGCCATTCTCATGGTCTTCTAAGGGTCTGTGACTTTTTTTTTTTAAGTTTATTTATTTATTTTACGTGCATTGGTGTTTTGACTGCATGGATGTCTGTGTGAGGGTATGGGATCCCTTAGAACTGGAGTTACAGACAGTTATAAGCTGCCCTATGGGTGCTGGGAATTGAACACAGGTCCTCTGGAAGAATAGCTAGTGCTCTAACCCACTGAGCCATCTCTCCAGCCCTGTGATTTTTCTGTATAGACTGTGTCAGTCTAGAGATAGAGGTCTTGACACCCTCCATCTAACGCTGGGAGACTTACCAGGCTGGGTGTCTCAGGACATCTCTGCCATCGAAAGAAAAGATGTGGGCCCCAGGCCGCAGTTGCCCCTGGGAGCCAGAAAACAGGGTGTCCCAGCTGGCAGATAGCACCTCATCCTACAGGAGACAAGCAGACTTCAGTCACTGTCACATCAGGCCAGAGGAATGAGTATTAGGGCAATCACAAGAGACCAAGGAACACGTTGAGGCAGAGGAAGCCCTTCTCCAAAGGTACACCCCATCACAGTGGGTGAGACCCATAGGTGCCCTCCTGAGCCTGAGACACTGGGATCTCTCAGTCCACATCACTGGTTCTGGGAAATACTCTATAAGAACATCAAGAATCCCAGCTCTTTTTATCATAAAGACCCAGGAATAAAGCCACACGATAGATCCTGTGGCAAAGGGCCAGGCTAGGTGGCACACAGAATTGGTTCCAGGCCACTTTGAGTTATGTAGTCAGTAACATAGGAACCACTAGAAACATCCATGGGACAAGAACCAGGGCCCTGGGAGGTTATGGGGTTAGAGGAGCTTTGTGGGGACTGTTGTGGGCATTTTGAGATCCCACTATGACTTCACACCTAAGGATAAGGCATGGGTACATCTGGGGACATGCTATGGACTTCTCAGAACAGACTCCACCCACCTTCAGGTTGACGATAGGCACAGTCCCCCGGTCAGCACGGCGCACAATACTGTAGAGGTCCTGCAGCCTAGAGGACAAGAAGGCACGGAAGGTGCCAGCCAGCCCCACGGCTCGGGCCTGCTGGAAGCACTGGAAGTCGGCCCCACGGATGCCATGCATGCCGCCTGACAGCGGGCTGTTCAGTGCCACCAGGTGGAGCTGCAGGAAAGGTCACATAGGATTATATTAGCAATGTCACAGGGCACACAGGCAGACTCCACTGAGTGTGCGAGACAGCAGTAACCTCGGTGAAAGCCTTCAAGCAGCCCTAGCTGGCCCCTTTCAGTCCAGGATATTGAAGGACAGGACGTCTGAGGCACTGTGGTTCCAGTAGCTCCCTAAGAGAGCTGTTAATAGCTATGAGCAGTGACAGGGACCAATTCAGTCTGCTGGGACTGGAGCAGCTGCCCATCCCTGGTTGTCCCAGCATCCTCTAGGGCAGAGGCACAGCACACATATGAACCAGTGTTTTCTCCTCTGCCATATTAAGGACTAGCAGGGACTGGCTCATAGGTGTTTGATCTCATGGATAGTCATTAAGGCACCAGAGGGAAGGCAAGTCCCTGGCCTAAGGGGATGCGTAGCCCACATTAATCAGAAGCTCACCCATAGATCTCTTTCCACAGTATTTCCTCTGGCAGCTCTGGGGGAATTCGCTCCATCCTGCCAGGACTAGGGCTGGATGAACACATGCCCCTTAACCCTGGACACTCACCACTGGCTGGAAGTCCTGGTGCGTGTGAGCAGGTGAGCTTGTGGGGCGGGCTGGCGGCTGGTGCACATAGGCACTGTGGTGGTGTGGAACTCCAGGGTAAGGTTGTGGATCCGGCAGACGTGGTGGGTTGACTAGGATGTCATCTGCCCGCCAGGGCCGAGCGGTGGAATAGGAGTGCTCCCGCCGGGTATACGGGCTGCCCTCGTGAAGCTGCACCAGTGGGGGCAGAGCCGCTACCTCATTGCCCTGAGAAGGAAGTACACAGTGCCTGGAGTAGCTCCTCATCTGGTACGATCCCTTCCCATGTCTGTTCTGTGCTCTTGGGTAGGACAGGGCTGGGCCCAAGGTGATGGGAAGAGAGCTGGACCCTGAGCCAGCCCGAGATACTTGAATGGATGGCACTGCCCTCTGTGCAGGTCCCCAGTCCTCCCTGTGCTTGGAAGACAGTTGTCACTCATCACAGCCTCCTTGGGGTTCCTGGCTACTGCTCAGGCTAAGACCCTACACTGTATTAGTCAATCATCACATGTTTGAACTCACTGAGAAGCTGGCTCTGGAAGTGATGTTGCCCCCCCCCCCCCATTTCACACCCAAGCATCTTGGTCTCAAAGTACCCTCCAAGGTCCCTCAACTGGAGATGGCCCCACCGACTGTGTGGCATGGAGGAAAGAGAAACAGCCCAAGAGTAAAACACGGTGCCCTTGAAGGCTAGAAAGTAAGCCATTTCCAACCAAGGTGACCATTGTTTGTCCCGTGGCATAAATGCCTGGTCAGCTGTGGGTAGCTCAGCCGTAAGCTCAGCCATGGGGAGAATGCTCAGTCAGGAACTCCAGCTGATGCCCCAACTTCCCCAGTCAGTTTCTGCTGGCTGCTGTGAATGTCCAGCCTGGTGACGTCACCTCCCCAGAACTCTCTTGGGAACTCCAGCTGGCTGCCTTATAGCACCCCCCCCATCATCAATTTCTGCCAAATGTTTGAGTAACCAGTTTGAAAATGCTTTATTTATCTGTCTATACGCTGTTATTTATTCTTTTACTTCTGTTTGTTGTATACTTTATAAATCCATTCATTCCAAGCTGAAAACTAAAGCTATTGTAGATCGTCCTGTACACTGCACAGAATGATCACAAACCTCCAGTCACGCATTTGGCTCCTGGACTTCAAGGAACCATGTGACCTTCCCGAGCTCTGCTACCCACGCTAACTTCTAACAGCCACACAGAGAGAAAAGGTTCCTCACCGTCCCATGTGGGAGAGCTGTCCGGGCCTCCAGCTGAAAGGCAACAGTGGGGGTTACTACAGCAGGCTTCAGGCCAGAGCCTCTCATCTGTCACCCTCTTCCCACGGCCCCTCCCTCTGGAAGAGGCCTATAGAGAGACAGGGATGTGACTACACCTCACTGGTTGGCACTAAGTGAACAGTGGGCACTGGTTAGACCTACTGCTGACGCCAAAGACTCTCCCAGGCCAGACAGAAGGGCTGTAATCAGGAAGGCACTAAAGAACAGGTCTGCCAGGCCCATAGACACAGAACCCAAAAGCTGGTACCCAGCAGCCATCATGCATTTCGAGGCATCCCACCAGTACTAAGGGCGTTCATCACAGTGGTGTTTATTATCATATGTGTCTACGCATAATACACATGTGCGCATGCCAGGATGTGTGTGTGGAGGTCGGAGGAAAGCTCTGCAGAACTGGTTCTCTCCTTTCACCTTTTGTGGGTTCTAAAATCAAGCTCAGGTTGACAGGTCTGTGTGGCATGTGTCTATGCCCACTGAGCCATCTGGCCGGCCCAGCAGTGGTGTTTATGTGACACAGTACTGGGTTCCAGAGCATATGTAGCCTTCATGCATCTTGAGGCCACCATGCCAAGACGAGCCCTGATGCTTTGTCGCATTGCATGCCCTGTAGAGGACAGCTAAGGACCTTGGCCATGAGCCACCTGGGCTCTAGAGTTAGGACCCTACCTCATGTTACACTGCTGTGGGTGGAATGTGAACTCTACCCCCCTCTGCCCCCAACCTAACCCAGGGTTATGTTGAACATTTGTTGTCTGGGAAGATTGTGGAACCTTTAGGAGGTAGAGACTCACTGGAGGAAGTAGGTCATAGCCCCACTTCCTATCTGCTTGCTGCCTGACGACAGAAGCCATATGACCAGTTGTCTGACACATCCTTGCCACTGCACCTTCGTCACTCCCAAGGACCGTACCTCAAACCATGAGCCAAAGTGACCTGCCCTCCCTTAAGGTACTTCTTGCTGGGAATTTGGTCTCAGCAATGATAAAAGTAACTAGTAAACATTCATTTACTGCTAACCCCAAAAATGCAGAGGAACTTGCTCACTATTCTTTAAAGAAAACCTTCATCCTTCTTGTGGCTGTTGGGGGGATGGTCCCTGAGAACTCACCAGCACCTTCCGGAAGCCATTTCTAACACGTACGTAGAGCTCTTCCCTCTCAGCCACGAAGATGAGCCAACCCTCCGGCACCTCGCGTACCTTGTCCAGCATTGTCTGGTATGTGGCCCAGATCCTCACCTGCTGGAACCCCAACCCAAGCCCAATGTCAAACCTACTATCCCGAACACCCAGAGCTCCCAGGATTTGGGAGACCAGAGAGTGACTCTCAGTAGGCACCCATCTTTGTCAGGCTATCACCAAGAAGAAGGAGTAGAGGTTGTAGAAGTGGGTACCTTGGGGACCCCATGATCCCAGACACTGGTCTCTGCACCCAGTTGACTGATGGGGAGGACTTCCTGAGATGCCACCCACCTCCCCAGTCCTAATCCAGATCCTCAGACCTTGGCCAACTGAACACTTACCCCAGCGGAAGCACCCATGGCTCCTGGGGGACCCGGAGGGCCAGGGGGCCCTGGAGGACCAGGAACACTGACAGCTACGAGAGAGATAAAGAGAGAGATAAAGCTGGGAACTCCTGGCCCCATGGGTAGCCCTCAGTGACCCAGGCCCAATTCCCATCTCCTACTTACTCTGCCTATGAGGACCAGGGAACGAGGGAGGTCCTGGCGGTCCTGGCGGTCCTGGGGGTCCCTGACGCCCCTCATAGCCAATACCAGGAGGTCCCTGAGGGCCAGGAGGGCCAGGTGGACCCCGAATGCTCTCTCCCTTTGGACCCTAGGAACAACAAGAAAGCCTTCCACTGTATCCCGCATGCGCCAGGTTGGGACTACCTGCTCATAGCCCTGGAGTTGGAACCTTTAAGACCAGTACGGCCTACCTACCACAGGGCTCCTTTTTCTGGGGATGTGATCCCAGGACAAAGAACCATCCCCAAGGCCTCCCAGTGTTCCTGTTCCCTTCAGCCCTCATGACAACTATGATGGTACACCCTTGGAGTCTGCTCAATGCTGCTCAAAGCCAGGTACAGTACCAGATGGGTAGCAGCAGGAAGAGTGGCCACGAGGAACAAATGAGGCCACCAGGATCCATATGCCCACCCAGCTTTGTGCCCAGAGGAGCCAATAGATGTGGGGTCTTAGACAGCTGAGTTTGCAGGGTTTGGTCTGAGTCTTTCAGGGCACACAGCCAGGCATGATGTGTGGATGCCTGCAGGAGGCCTGGGGTTCAGGCTTACCGGAATCCCAGGGTAGCCAGGCGGGCCAGGTGGTCCAGGCACACTTGAGCCGAAGAATCCACCACCAGCAGCCCCAGGTTCTCCCCGCTCTCCTTTCTGTCCAGTGTCCCCTCGGTCTCCCTTGTCACCCTACAGGTGGAAATAGTTATCTGAGCCAGGTGGGGATGACAGGCTGGCACCGGCCCCATGAATCATGGCACCTCCTTGGTCCCCTTCCAGATCCAGCTCGGCTCCCACCTCCTGCTGTCTCGACCGCACCCCCACCAGCCTGGGACAATGAGTGTCCAGAGGGAAGGACGCTACTGTAAAGCCAGCGTTCCTCATGGAGCCAGAAGAAAAGAAAGTGGCTTGGTTGAATGTCAGTACACTCTTGTCACCAGGGACAGAGGCACCTGCCTGGACACCAGCCACCCCATCAACTTGACCAGCAATCTCACCCACCTTCATTTCCGCTTCCAGGTGGAAGAAGTCGATGGGGAACTGCCCTGCAGGGTAGAAAGGGAGGTTGGAAGCGAACCGAGATGACAGTATCGACTCTACGGTTTATACCCCCCTCCCCTCCCCCACCTCCCCTCATGGATTGTGTAAGGATCACACATCTTCTTAAATTACTCCTGGTTAATGGATTTTTTTTTTTGTCATGGTGTTTCTGCAGAATTGCACCTATAAATGTTTATGACCAGCCATTGGCTTTTCTAATGGCTGTCTGTCCGGTGGCCTGGAGAGATGCAGTCCTTCCTTCTGTCACCCCACAGATCCTCAGGGCTGTATACAATGGAGACTTGGTATCTGTGTAAACTGGCTTCTTCTTTCCCTAGGCCCCTTGCTTCAAGAAGCCTGGTCCTGTTCCTGCAGGCATAGAGTCAGCAAGGCCCAGGGTCCCTCCTCTAAGCCATTCCCTGTTGTCTCTGTGAGTTTGCAGGGGTGGGGAGATGTTTCGGCATCTTCAAAGAATTAACTTCATCTCTGGATTTTTTTCTTTACTCTTCTTTGATCTCTGTTATTTTATACATAAATAAAACATGACTTTATTTATTTCTGTCTCTAAAATGCCTTCCTGTTTTCATCAAATGTGACGTTTGCTTCCCAGGACCTCAGCCTGGAGGCACAGTAACATTCCAATTAAGGCTGTATTTTGTGAAGAGGGGTTAACCCCTTTTTTCAGGGGTAGCAACCTTGGGTCAGGTTTTCCTGCAAGGCTGATGTCCTTGTGGAGTCTCTATCTTGGAGGCCCTTCGCTGCTACACAAGATGGTCAAGAGCAGTGATTCCATGCCCACCCCCTGCCCAGCCATCTTACAGGTGTGTCACCTGGGATTGGAGGTGACGGTAGCCACTAGAAGGACCCAAGCCTCAGCCCCTGTCCTAGGACCTCTGTAGAACTGGGCCATAGTCTATGGGATTCCATGACCTATGAGCAAGGGGTCCCACTGACCCAGCCCATAGGAGACTTAGAGGACCCAGCTATTCAGCTGAGAGAGGCTTTGCCAGAATCACCACCCCAGGCTGCTCGGGTCTTTTGCTTCTCCTTTGATGTGCAAGCTGCCCGGAACAGGGCTGCTGCTGGGGCAGTCCTCCAATGCAGGTGCTCCCTCACCATGGGCTTGTACTAGGTTCACGAGACTACCCCCCCCCCCCGCCCCCAAACCTGCAGAACACGCTTCTGCCTGTAGGGACTAGTCCCTGTGACTGGCATATGGCCAGAGATGATGTAGTCAAGCATTGGTGGCTGCTGAGCCCTTCCAACTCCAGGTTAATTTTTTCCAATGACGGCATGGTTTTCTTCCTTGTCTTCCCTATCCCGAGGTTCTGTGATTGTAGGCACACGAGTTCAGTTACTGGATTATTCTGGCAGATGGACTTGGATCAAGATGAGAGCCTCTTAAATTCCAGCCTTATTTCCTAAGATCGACTCGGTCATACACGCACACTTGGCCGACCATTGCTTGCTCCCTTCTCCTGGGACAATTCCCTCTATCCTGATCCTCTAACTTGCCCATGTCCTAAGGGAGAGGTCTCTCTGTGTCTCTCTGGGGAGCTAGTCCACTCCCATCCAACTGCCAACAGAAGCGCCCATGTTCAGCTGCTGAAAACCTGGGGGTTCAGATCTATTTTGCCCTCTACGTGCCTCTGCTCTGGGCTCCTTCTTCCTCTTTGTCTGGATTTGCACCAAGCTTTGCTCTGTGTTTTTGTATCATTTATCTGTGCATCGGGCACATTCTTCTGTTTTTGGCTTTCTTTCAAGTTCATCTGTACCCTTGACCTCAGCTAAACATCAGAAGGACTGCTCCAGAGAGTCCGGGAGTGGCCATGCAGCCTGTCCTCTTCCTGCTGTGTTGGTCAGCTACTGCCTGCCTCCCCCTTTCTGGGCACCGCTTGTCTCTCCCAGGAGCCTCGCGCTGCACATCAGGCTGCTTGCTGCTTAGGCCACCCTCTTGGTGCAGAGTCATACTCCTGGGCTGTGGAATTCTGTGGCGTGAGCCTCCCTCTGATGGTCTGAAATGTGCAGGGTCTTCCGGCTTTCCTCACCTCTGACGGTCTTCTTGTGCGTCTTTTCACTGTGAGAAACACTGCAAATCTTTTCTCAGTCTCGAAACTCTGGGCCATTTTGCCCTCAACTGCTGTCTCTCTTTGGTTCTCCAGTGACAAGCACGCTAGACCCTCGCTGTGTCCTCCCTCTGTGGACTTCATCTCTCAATCTGTGCTTCCATCGGCAAGGTGCTGAGATGGCCACTCCCAGCTTACCCTTGCTGTCCTCGGGGGAAATCATGTCCCCCAGTTCTCTGAACTCTTGTGTCCCAGGATTTACCCAGATAGCCCTCTGCTCTCTGAGATGATTCTCTTCCCTTTTAGCTTTGGGGCATGGTACACTCTAAGTCTTGGTCCCAGTCTGGTACCCACTTCCCAGGAGGCCTGGGATCTGGTCTCTCCATCTCTGGTTCAATCTTGGTTCCAGTGCCTGTGTCTTCTTTACCACACCACACACTGAGTGATGCTGATGGGGAGAATCGGGCTGGTTTTGAGCAGGGATCCCACTTGCCCATGAGTGCTAATGCTTTTGTGGGTCAAGGGAGTAGCCTCAGCTCTCTTCCCGGCTGGTCCTCCCTCCTTCTCACAGGAAGCGTCTCAACTTTTATCCTGCTTTCCCAGATGGTTTTGGTGGAGACTGGTCCCTAGATCCAGGTCTTTTCAGGACTTAGTGAACTTAGAGAAAGCATGTGCTTTGCTCCTCCAGAGCGTTGGGCAGCAACCATGGCGTAACGGGTATCCAGCACCCCCAGGTTCTAGTGCCCCACCTGGGGCTGGCTGTACCCCACAACCCTCAGCCTAGACCATGCAAGTATGCTCACCTGGAGGCCCAGGTGGGCCCACCTCTCCTTTGTCACCCTTTGGTCCTGAAGGCCCCTGCACACCTAGGGGAAGAGACCCCAAATCTATCAGGGAAAGTTCGGTCAAGGCCCCTCCCACTAATGTCCCCAGTCCTGGCTATTGTGTACATAGGGTGAGGCTAGACCAGAAAGGCTGTGGAAGGATGTGGGAGTAGGGGACATAGTTAGAATCAGAACTCATGAAGAGCAAATGTGTGTGCTGGGGAGAGCCATTACTCTATGTCCCTACTGACAGATGTCTGGGGCTGTCCCTGCACTTCTCTGAGAAATCTTGGATGGTCATGCCCGGTACCAGAGCCTCTAGTTAGACTCCCTGGACAGCTATGCCAGGTGTGTGCTATTAGGAGTAGGGTAGGCTTGAGGACGTGACCCGGGAACTGGATACCCAGAGTTAGTAGAGAGTCAAGTCCCACAGCTTCATCTTTTTCCTAATCAGTTTGAGGTTACTATCCCATTGCCATCTTCCTACCGGAGCCCCAGACTTCCGCATGCACTGTGATCCCCAGTGCCCTCACCTTGCTGTCCTGGTAGTCCAGGTCGGCCAGACTCCACAAACGCCTACAAAGAACAAGCAGGGAGGGGGTGGGGATGGGGAGGGGTTGCCGAAGGACAGTGCTCTAGAAAGCAAGACTACCAGGGTCCCCAAGGCAAGAAATCCCAGGGCCCCTCTCCAGAACCAAACAAGAACCCTTTCCATAGGCACTCTGAACGGGGCCAGGGTCTATGTCCAGAGTCCTTGTCACAGTGACCTGCCCTCATAGGTCACCTCTTCCCCTTGTTAAGGCTGGGTTTGAGGCTGTCTCCAAGCTGCAGAGTTACTCCTGTGGGGACTCACTGCTTGTCCACTGCCCCCAGGTGCAGCCTACCCGACAGACCCATTCCAGAGATACCCAGAGAGGATTCCAGAGGCAGCAATGGGAGAGAAGCCTCTGGAGAATGAAGCTCTGGCCACTTACATTGCTGTCATAGATGGGCATTCCCGGAGGACCTGGGGGGCCTGGAGGCCCAGGGGGGCCAGGCAATCCCTGTGGAGGGACAGAAGGTTCTGGTTAGTCAAGGTCACAGCTAACCATCAGTGTAGACTAGGGTAGCAGACATAGGCTGAAATTCTTCTGAGAAGTGGTCAGATCAGAAAGCTGAATGCGTTTGATGATGTAAAAATCAAGACTGTATTGCTGACTTATCCATGTGCCTGCCAGCTGGGCCTGCCTATTTCCTGCCCGGGCCAGTAGTTGTACTTCTCCTGAGATCACTCAGGAGCAGATAAGTCCCTCAAGAAGGCTTTGACTTGAATGAAAGGGACAGCCTGGCCCGTGCTCTGACGGTTATACACTGCTTCTGCAAAAGGCCTCTCGAGGACCCGCGTAAGGAATTGGCATGACCAGGTACCTTGCATGGCCCACCTTCCCCAGGACAGCTCCACGGGGGGAGGGGGGGAGGGCTGTGAGCATCAGGTGCCTCAGACTACGGGATACACTCCCCATAGGGAAAATGGTATTTAACCTGATTTCAAAAATCCTAGCTGAGAATAAAATCCAAGAGCCAATCTTTTCCATTGGGATGGATGAGATTGGCCCGTGACTGCCGGTCCTGCAGCTCTGCAAACGCCGGAGCTTGCTCTTGATTTTGCACGGGGTTAGTAGGCATTAGTGCACAGGGGAGGCAGCTGGCAAGAAACCAGCAGCAGCCATGATCATCACAAATGTGAACTCTCTGAAGTATTCATATCTGGATTCCCGTTCCTATCTCTGTTCTGGGCAAAGCAGGTGGGAGGTGGGAGTCAGAGCTGGACACAGCCATGCTGGGGGGGCCCCTGAGTCTCTGAGTGTCTGCCTCCAGTAGAAAGGCAAGCGAGGCTAAGTCCCTAAGGCAGCAGATGTTTCAAAAGACACAAACTTGTGTTGGTGGATCCAGAGAAGGTATGCCCTAAGACCCCATGTTTCTCTCTCCTGGGTATAGGAACATGCAGATGTGTGCATGTAGTTGTGAGTGCCCACAAACACATGTGAGTATTTATGCAAGTATAGTCAGGACAAACATGTCTAGCTACATCATCAGCCATTTCAAACAGCCTGCTAGATGACCTGAGAGGCCCTGACCTAGCCCTTCTTGTTCCCTGGTGTTCCAAGCCATCCATTTGCCATTGCAGGACACTTACCCTCATGCTGAACCCAAGGCTGGCATCTCCAGGCTCCCCTTTCTCTCCCTTTAATCCATTTGTTCCGGGACGACCCTGAACAGAACAGAGTAACAGGGCTTGTTGGGTACTGGACAGCCCGTACATAGCCCCCTCCTTCCTGGGTCAAGGCTTCACACTTTTGCCCAGAAGCTAGAGGAGGCAGGAGACTGACTAGAAGGTCCCAGGTCAGAGCCCCCTTTTTGCCCAGGGCCTTCTATGGGGTGCCAGATGAAGTGTACTCTTAGCCCAGATAAGTATTAAGACATTGGCCACATAGATATGATTGCTGTACCCAAGGGGAGGACAGGAGGGGCCACTGTCCACTTTCTCCAGAGCCCAGCCCTCTGCAGGCCCCAGGTGCTCTCCACCCACTATGTCCAAAATGTAGGCCACCAAATCCTCACCGGCCGTCCAGGGAAGCCGATTTCACCCTTGTGCCCAGGTCGCCCATAAGGACCCTACAGAGAGAATGTGGAGGGTGAGTGAGGTCTCCTAGTGAAGAGGGAGGGAAAGAGCCAGGGTTGCCATCTCTGAGAACTACCAGTTGTCATCCAGGTAACCAACCCCCACCCCATGTTTTCAATGTGGCAGTTGATACAAACCCTGGGCCATGAACCCAGTGTAAAGAAAAGGGCATTACTCACCGGGGGTCCTCGGAAGCCTGGTTCTCCCTGAATAGATAATCAGAGGTACGTCAGGGAGCTATGGCTAACCCTGCCCACTGCCTTCTTGAGTCTCTGTACCCATGTGGATGTGCTAGGCTGGCAGCCAAGGCTGCTGGCTATGCCAGGACAGGACAGAAACCAGCACTGGGACCAGGTCTGGTCTGAGACACAGATGGATGCGCCCTGGGTTGGTGAAGGTGGGACCCAGCTTGGACAATGTAGAGCTAAGTAAGGTCACCCAGGTCTTCTTCACCTACAGAGCCTCTGTGAGCAGGGGGTTCTCTGGGCCTGAGGAATCATCAGCTCACTCCCTGACAACACTGTAGGCCAATGAGGATCCATTCCTCATAGCCACCAAGGCTTCCCAAGGCCCTTCCCCTGGAACCTTCTTGGGAAGACCTGCTGGGGTAGAAGTCTAAAACGGTCTGAGGAGCAAGTCCTGCCAGCCAAGCAAAGGCTTGGGCTCAGGTTGCTGCAAGCTCAGGGCCACAGGAAGGAGGAGGTCTAGATACCTCGGTTATACAGGGTGGATGGTTGCTTACTCATGGGGTGCCCCCAGCAGGCTTTGGGCTCCTTCATCTCCCACAGGCAAAGGCCAGGAGGAAGAATGAGCACACTGGGCCATGGCCTATATCACTAACCTTCGTATAGGTGAGCTCAGGCCACAGCAGCAAGGGGATAACACAAGCCATTGGCAGGTTTGGGGTTGTGAGAACACACCCAGGATGGTTGCAAGAGGCAAAGGGAGGGGAACAGAATTAGGCTATGGGGGCTTGGGAAACCCATTCTGGAAAGGTTTGAGTGTGTTGTGATCCTGCCTCTCTGTGAGGACGCCCCCATTCATGCTGTCTTCACAATGTCAGGGAACCCCAACCCCATTCTCACCTTGGCTCCTTTCTGGGCAGGGCCCAGGGCTCTGCCATCAGGGCCAAAGATAGCACCTGGCTCGCCTTTCTCACCCTGAAATGGCAGGACAGGAAGGACAGGTCAGGGCTCAGCCATAAGGCCTCAGATACCCCCAAGACAGAAACAGAGCAGAAGGGGGTCCAGGCCTACGTGGGAAGGTTGTGACCAGAGCCTTCTGAGTTAAGGTAATAGAGATGTCATGTCCCAGTACCCCCAGGGCCCAGCCTGCCTCAGGAGCCTTCGGAGCAGGTCTGTGGTTCCTAGGAAAGGAGCAGATGGTACCCCAGCCCCTTACCTTGGGCCCTGGAAGACCCTGCTCGCCTTTGGAACCCAGGTCACCCTTCGGCCCAGCAGGTCCCTACAATGAAGACCAGATAGAAATGAGGGTCCCTGACCCAATATCCCTTGGACCCCATGTTCCCCCATATTCTGTCCCTGTGGTTGCTCACTGTTCACAAGGCAGCCCCTTCAGTGTCCTGAACAATTATAGATGGCGAGGGCACCATGCAATACCCTCCAGCCCCCATTATCTTCCTGATAGCATCATGTCCTCAAGGACAATGACCCAAGCTTACACTACCATCCTGTGTGTACCAAGCAGAAACCATACCCACCCCCCAGTGCAGAGCATTGCTGGGCAAGCATGCAGCTCTGAAGTAAAGCCACTTACAGGAAAGCCTGCGTACCCTGGCTTGCCCTGTGGAAAGAAAGGCACCGTGAGTTTTGGGGACACACTGCTCTCACGGGTGTTCTAACCCAGCTCCCCGGGACCCTCCGTGGAAGCAAGATGGCACTTACCTCAGGTCCTGGTGTGCTCACTACTGCTCTCTGTCCCCACGCCATTGGGAAAGAAAAAGTAGAGGAAAAGAAAGCTGCATTTGAGTTTAAAGTCACCTGTATCACACTAGCCACAGGCACACAAAAGGCATGTCCAAAGTGGAATTTAGGAAAAGCCTGTGCTTTCCGCAGTATGCCTGGGTTCTCTCTGCAGGTGCCCAGGTGACAAGTGACCCATTTCCTGGGGAGTCCCCTTCCCATGAAAGACCCTCCTCCCAGCATGGAGCAGCCAGGGCTGGCCTCACTCTCCAGTCCTGTTACACACTTAGCCTGGGGCACACACTCCTGTCCACCACATGCAAGCAGCCCCACCTGCTGGGGGCTTTTCTAATGCTTCACTCTTATACCAGTGCCCCCTGGATGAAGAGGACCAGCTGTTGTTTCTGGCTTTCCCCTGGTCCCAGAGCCCTGTGACCGTTCAGTGCCTTTCTCCCAGGACTGTACTGTCCCCCTCTCAGAACTGAGGGTACCAGGGCTGCAGAATGTGAAGTAACCAGCCAGGGTCACTGTTGACAACTGTAGCTGGGATCTGAGCCCAGTTGTCACCCCAACCAAGCTCTAGCTCTATCTAGGGCGGCCTGTTCCCTGCGGTCTCAGCTCCCGTGGGCCCTGCATCTAACAACCAGAGACTTGGGCTTCTTGCTGCAGAGAACTGAGCACAGGCAGCAGCTTGACCACCAGGTTCTGCATTGGGGCTTGGAGGGACCCACTGACTTTGAGGCTATGCCACTTGACTATGTTGCTGTAGGCACCACAAAAGGGCAGTGGTAGCCTTTACAACCAAGAAGGTCAAGAAGCTTTGGCAAGGAGAGAGCTTCTAGCCAGCACGGCCTTCTCTTGAGAAGCCAGCGCTCCTCACGCCATTCTGATGCAGTTATGATGTGGGAGTGTCATATATCAATCTGTTGATTTCATTGGTTAAGCAATAAAGAAACTGCTTGGCCCTGATAGGTTAAAACATAGGTGGAAGGAGTAAACAGAACAGAATGCTGGGAGGAAGAGGAAGTGAGCTCAGACTCGACAGCTCTGCTCTCTGGAGCAGAGATGCCGTGCTCCCCTCTCCCGGGCAGACGCACGCGATGAAGCAAGCCGCCAGGTCAGACATGCTGAATCTTTCCCGGTAAGACCGGTGCTACAAAGTTTATTAGAAATGGGTTGATCGGGATATCAGAATTAGCCAGTAAGGGCTAGAGCTAATGGGCCAAGCAGTGTTTAAAAGAATACAGTGTCCGTGTAATTATTTCGGGGTATAAGCTAGCCAGGCAGCCAGGGTGCTGGGGACGCAGCCCCGCTGCTCCTATTACTACACAGTTAGGTCAACTATGGGCAGTCCCTAGACTGAGGGATGAGCCCTGCCGCATTCCACAGTGTACTTACATCCTCATTTGACACATAGACCACAGGCCCTGGAGGTCCTGGGGGGCCAGGGAGGCCTGGAAGCCCCACTCCGTCTTTTCCTGTGTTTCCCTGGAAGAGAACCGTAGAGAAGTAAACATTCTAGTTCCTCTGGCCAGGACCCCAGAGCCTACCCATAGCCCAGGTACTAGGTTTGTAGACAGTGGCTGAGAGCTACCCCTGCTGACTTAAGGGTCTCTCCTCAACTCTCTGAGGTCTCATGGGTGGCCAGGTGGCTTAGGCCTGAAGCTGGGGCATGATGGGATTCCTCACCCTGAGGCCTAAGCAGTTCAACTCTGTTCACTGTGCACCTAAGGCTACAGACACTCACCTTTTCTCCCTGGGTCCCTTTCTCTCCTTTTGGTCCCTGCAGAGACAGAGAAAATGGGTCATCGTAGACAGAACCAGAATCCCTTCAGGGACCAGCCTACCTGGGCCTGGCTTCCAATGCAGATGGGGAGTCTGTGTTGCCTTGAACCTTGGAGAATAGAGATGGGCACCCAAACCCTGTCCAGCCTTGCAGTTGGCTCCAGGGGCCACAGTGTAGTAGGTAGGGGACACAGATGTCTGGGACACCCCAAGGGCCACTTGAGATGCCAGTTCTCTTCCTGGAGGCTTCTTTTACGCCTTTCGCCTCTCACTCACCGGGGGCCCAGCTGCACCCTCTCTTCCTGGGAGGCCAGGGATGCCCTGGATTCCATCTGCTCCAGCTTCTCCCTGGGGCAGACAAATAGAAGGGCCAGAGTCAGCCCTGCAGCAGGCAGCAGAGACTCTCAGAGAAGAGGTCACAGCAACCATGGGTGTGACCGTAGCCTAGGTTTCTGCAGGCTTGGCTCAGCCCCTGGATATATCTCCCTCCATGGATATAGCATGCCATCCATATGGGATGTGGAAGATGAAGACAGGGAGGATAGTGGCAGGGAAGGGGATGGAGGGAGGAAAGGGGAGGAAGCTCATTTCCCACAACTGGTGCGGGTGTATAGGGTTGTGCCCTAAGGTGGAGGCTTGACCTAGGTAGTTTTCTCTGAATCAGGCACATTAAATTATAAAGAAACAAAAGTATAAGGAACATTGAGGGCAAGACGGGAGGGAGAATGAGGCCAGGACTGTACAGGCATCTCACTCCATGCCTGGTATTCTCAGGCTGCCTCTGAGATGTGCTCGACACATGAGGTTTGTGGGGCATGCCTGCTGGTCCTTACAGGCCCCTCACCATCCCCAGTGGACAATATATACCCCACCCTGGGGGAAGTACCTACCTTGGTTCCAGGTTGCCCTGCCACTCCAGGATCCCCCTAAGTGGAAAAAAAGTTCTATGAGCTTGGGGTGTCAGCTGGCTCACCCCCAAACCAAGCTACATACTTCTTTGTTAATCACCCAAGATATCCCGGCCCCAGCACTTGGGCCCTTCTAGAACCCTCGGTGACCCAGGGGCCCACACTGGTGGACGGTACAAAATATATCCTAGCATCATGGGGATTGGATAGTTCCTGATATTGTAGAAGCTGGTAGCAAGTACCCCCATCCGCACGCCTTTAATCCCAGTACTTGGGAGGCAGAGGCAGGAGGATCTCTGTGAGTTCGAGACCAGCCTGGTCTACAAGAGCTAGTTCCAGGACAGCCAAGGCTACAGAGGAACCTTGTCTCAAAACAAAACAAAACAAAACAAACACAACAATGACAAAAATAAACAAGTCCTCTAAAGAGATTCCTTAAAGAAAAAAAAAAGTCTGCCTTTAATCACAGCACTTAGAAAGGAGAGGCAGGTAGATCTCTGGGTTCGAGGCCAGCCTAATCTACATAATCCAGGATAGCCAGTGCTACACAGAGAAACCCTGACTCAGAAAAAAAAAAATCCAATTTGGGCCCATCTAAAAATCCATCCTTTGAAATGTTCATTCAGTGTTTTGTAAGTCACAGAAAAGCATTCTAGAAGTAGGGAACAGCAGAGGCCAGCTAGGCAGTAAGGACACCCTGGTGGGGACTATTCTGCTGCTCTCCACCCTTGCCCCCACCCTGGGGAGCCTGACTGGAGCGCAAGGGAAGGTGGGGGCCAAGGACGGAGCCTAGTCTGTGGCTGGTGTCCCTAAGGATGACATGGGGAGCAGAGAACAAAACTCTCAGATCCTCTAGGGGAAGGGGACACCACCCTACGGGTCTCTAAAGCTGAGAACCATCGAGAGGTTCTGGTCTCCTCAAAATTTTAGCATGGTTCAGATGTGTGCAGGCAGGAATCTCATTTCCTGGGCTTGGAAAGATAGGGCATAACCCCGCTAATGCTCAGTGCATGGGAAGGCGCATGTGGCTATTTTTCCATGAAGCCGCCTGCTGTGTTTTGCAAACTTTCATGCTGAGCTCACAATGTATTAACTTGCTAGGCAGCTCTCCAAGAAAGGCCTCCCTCACTCACCTTGAGTCCTGGCAACCCCGGAGGTCCCTGCCAGAGTAAAGGAAACAAGTGTTAGTGAGTGACCCGGATCTGCTTTATCCCACATTCATTAGCCCTTTCCAAACCTCATGACCCCAGGGACAACAAAAACTGAGGCACAAGGCTGGCGTGACGGGAGCTCTAAGCAGAGCCTTCTATTGCTAAAGCTATAACAGGGGCAACTGAACTTTAACTGAGTACCCGGTTGAAAGCTACATGGGAGTTCTTTCTGTTGTCCTTAGAACCTGTCTACATTTGAAATTGTTTTAAAATAAAACTATATACTGAAAAAGTTACAAAGAATTATAGCAACGATAACAATGCTTTACTGTCACGGTAGCATCTGCCAGTGGTGGCCCCAGAGACTAGAGGTCAGCCTGATGTCCTCCAGGACATACTGCTGTTCCTCAGGGAAAAGCGGTATCCTAGGCAGGGCTGTAGAGTTTGTGCATGCCTGCACACAAGGGCCCTGATGTACCTGCCATTTGGGGACTTTGGGACTTCAGCTCCTCTTTGCTGACCTAATCCAAACTACACACAGGTCAACAGAAAAACTTGGGGTGACTCCCCCAGATGCCCCACTAACTCAAGCCTACTCTGGCCAAATATCTGTCACTTCTTCAAATTACAGCCATGGAAGAAATCAGAGAGGGAAAGGCCTATCTACCTGTCACCACCCCACACTGACCCCCCACCCCTAGGGACAGTTTGTGAGCAGGTCTTTCTGGGGTGGAGGGTACTATGGCTCACATCCCCAGGCTTCTGGCGGTTCCTTGCCCTACATAAGGCTGTCCCAAAGCCACCACTGGCCTGGGACCCTCCTCCTACCCCAGCCCACAGGCAGTACCTGCAGCCCATCGGAGCTTCGGGCTGTTGGCCAGAAGGGCATCCCAGAGCCTTCCATATCATCCTGGAGGGAGCACAAGAGGGATGCTCAGTGACTGAGCCTTACTAAGAAGGAGCCTTTCCTGAGGCCAGGAAAAAGGAGATGGGGGAAAGGGAAGTGGATGACCGACAGAGCTTGGGTCGTGTGTGTGTGTGTGTGTGTGTGTGTGTGTGTGTGTGTGTGAGTGTGTGTGTGTGTGTGTGTTTTATTCAAACCCTAGTGGGCACGCATCCTACTCAGTCACAGGGCTTTGGCCTGTGTGTGTGCAAGAGAAATTGTACTTGGGTTCATAGGCAGGTTTTCAGCATGGAAGGGTTGGGAACAGCACCCACAGACATCTGAGCCTAAACACATGTGCTTTGAGTGCAGTGAGGCCAATCCAGAACAGATCTAACCCATTCAGGTACTTGGGATCACACATGGAAGCCCAAAGAAGGGAACAGGAGAAACCCACGTGTGACAAGAGCTGTGCCCTGCTTAGGGAGTTCTGCTCAGGCTGTGAGCTGTCTGGAGGAAAGGCAGCTGTATGGCCCAGGCTTTCTGGGGGCCCCCCAGTGACTCACGAATCCAGCTGCAAATCCTGGTCCTGGTGGCCCCGGGGGGCCTGGAGGTCCTGGTGGTCCAGTTGGCCCAGGGGGTCCAGCCATGCCAGTCTTTCCAGGCACACCGACAGGCCCAAGATCTCCTTTGCTCCCCTGCACAGACAGAAGGACAAGGTCACTGTGGCTCTGGGCCTCGGCTAAGCTACAGGCAACGCAACGAACAAGCACTTCCTTGCAATGCTTTTCAAAAACCTGAAAACCCAGAGATAAATCACCTGCCACAAAAGCCATACAGGCAACTCACTGACTTAAAACAACAGGGTGAAGTGAGATTCACAGGCACACAAGCCTGACGTCATGGCTTTGGCCACAGCTCAAGAATCACAAAGCAGGCTGTCCACCATAGCCTGTAACCTTGGGTCCCAGCTCTTTGACAGTTGAGAACAGGGATAGCAAGAAGCAGATAAAGCAGGTAAGGAGGAGGGACAGGCCACTGGAAGGTACAGGGAGAGCAAGGTTCAGGGTGGGTCTGCAGGGGACCCTGTAGCCACCAAGTGCTTGGGGTAACGTAGGCACAGGTATTACTGTGACTTTGCGAGTTTGAAGAACTTGGGGAGCAGAAGCAAACACAGGTCATGTCTAGGAGTCTGAGGGATCAGATCAAGGAAGCAGACTGAGGCAGGGACTTGGCACTCAGGCAGGGAGGCCCTGGTTCAGAAAGCCCTACTCCAAGCAGGTTAGCCCTGAAGTTGGACCTGGTAGGCCAGCATGCCCCAGGGACCCTGCTGGTAGCCAAGTCACCTCTATGAAGTGGGAACTGAGACCCCCCACCATTCTCTCCTGGGCCGCTGAGAGGCACGAGTGATTGTATGAGAGATGTCCTGAACCCAGCTGGAACACAGGCAGCCTCGCTTGGCGTGAACCTTCTTATAAAGGGTCTAGCTGAGTTCAAAGACAGCCTGGGCTACACAAGATGCCACCTTTGGGTTCCTCCGGAAATAATGAGGATGCAGGCGTCTATTGTGGGTGTGGGATCTCCAGCTATGGATGTAGCTACTCCATTTCAGGTGGGTACCAGGTACAGCGGTTCACTCTTGAACCTTCCTCTTTAACCTCAGTAAAACACTTCATTTATTTATCCTGGAAGACTCTCCTTATGTGCGTGCGCAGATACAAGGGCGTGCGCGTGTACAGACAGGAGCACCTGAGTGCAGATACCAGTGTCTTGTGCAGAGACACAAGCGTGCGTGCAAATTTACATACTCAGCCCATGCCAGCCCATCTCTTATTTCTTTCTGACATGTTCATCTACCTTCTGATGCCCCTGTTGCTCTCGTCTCCCCGCCACTGGATTCTTCTATCAGCCCCAGCCTTTTCTTTGAACACCAGCCAGGATGCCTCTCAGAACACAGGAGAGCCAGCATGGCATTCCCTGTGCAACAGTGGGTGAGGATGCTGGGAGTGCCACTGAGGACCTCGATGAACTGGGCAGCTAACATCCTGAGGTCCCTGGTTGAGGCACCCCAGGAATTCCCAGGGAGCCTTCCCTTGTACCTGCCTACTGGGAGCTCATTTCTAAACCCAGCACCTCTGGTTCCACTGCATTTGCAGAACAGAACTGAGTAGATAAAGCCACACGCACATGCGCGTGCGCACACACACACACACACACACACACACACAGAGACTATGCATTCACTGGCTGGTGCCCCCTACATCCTGCCTAAATACTTTTATCAAGCAGGTAGCCCCAACTCTGCCAGAATGAAAACTGACTCATACCTTGGGTCCTGGGATGCCCACCTCGCCCTATGGGGGATAAAAGGATAGGATTACAATAAATTCAGACATGTATGTAGCAATCAGAGAAAAACAAACCAACAGCCCCATGGTGACTGCCTGCCTCACAGGATCCTGTCTTTGGTTTATGCTGACTCTAGTGTTCTCAGGGCCTGTTCCTGCTCCCTCCCTTGTCTTTTAGGGAGGCTAACCTCTGGGAAGCTCAGCAGGGAGGGGAGCCCAGAGAGCCCAAGGCCAGAGCCCCTAAGCCCACCAGCCCCATGAATGCCTCTAAGAACACCTCCTGAGCCGGGGAGCCATTTAGGCTTAGTTAAAAGCAGAGACAAGCTCTGGGAATAGTCCATTTAAAAGGATCTTCTGATGCTCCCCAAGCATGCGGGTCTTCCTCATCCCATCCCAGGAAGTGGTGGGAGCAGCTCTCCATCTGACCCCCCTCCCCCGGCAACCCAAGACCACAGTAGATTGTGGTCAGCAGAGATTGGCCGGCCTCTGAAGGCATCTACCAATCCAACTACACTGAAACCTGAAATCACCCTTTCAAACCAAATGAAGGGCCGCCCCCTAAGTTGCGGGTCCACATATGGAGACCCTGACTTGAACCCGAGCCCTGCCGGCCCCACGACTAAGCACCTCCCTAAGCTGAGGATGCAGGCTGTGTCCATGGGCTCACCCTATGGCACACACTCCCCACAGACCCCAAGCACGCAGTGCCCACCACCCACTGGCTACAAGTGTGTGCTGAGTTACACCACAGGAGCTCACTTACAACACTGCCTTTCTGGCCAGCCACTCCCGGTGGGCCCTCTTTGCCTGGAGGACCTGGAGGTCCCTGGGGGACAGAAGAACAAAGAGATGGGTGGACAGGATCCATGGTGAGCAGGTAACAGCTGGTACCCAGCCTTTCCGAGAGCCAGGATATAACCCCCCCCCCCCCGCCCCCAGGTGTATGCACAGCTCAGACAGCACAGTGTAGAAGCCCCTGTGTGTGCCCTTTAATGGAGCTGTTGATTATACTGGGGAAACTAAGTTGGGAGGCTCATGCATCCATTCGGTCTAGAGTGGGTAAAGGTGTGTCCCGGAGTCACCTAGTGTGTCAGTACCCTAGAACTAGAGGGTAGCCTACCCCCCCCAATCCTGAGAGTGACCCCAAATGAGACCAGCCTCCACCTCGAGGTGTGGAGACTGGAGCATGGGAATCCTGAGGTAGATCCAGCGAGAGACCTCATGTCATTCTCCCCTCCCCTGTTCCTAGCCAAGAGGATGCTCTGGGGAGGGGAGGCAGCAGAACTTACCGGGGGGCCAGGAAATCCGGGGGGCCCTTCCTTCCCAGGCACACCAGGAAGGCCTGCAGGTCCTGGAGCATAGGAGCTGTTGACCCCAAAGCGCCCTGGTTCACCAGGCAGTCCTGGGACACCAGGGGGTCCTGGGGGGCCAGGGAAGCCTCGTGGGCCCTGGACACGAGAGATACAGTCCATCACAGAATATATAGGCATGCTGGACAATGATCACATCCCCTGCTAGTCTTACCCCACCCCCAAGGGTCCCCCCTAATGTCTCAGATATCCTGCCCAGTGATAGTGGGTGTGGGGTGCAGCCACTTACCCTGAGGCTCTCCATATCACCACTGAAACCAGAACCTTCCATGTCAATGAAGGTCTGAGGGAAGGGCGAGAGAAGCCACCACAGGACATAAATGCATCATCCTGAGTACCAGATAGCATCACCCAGCTGTCCCCTAACCACCCAAAGATGCCTGCAATGGCAGGTGGGGCATCATGCTTTGCCCCACAGACTGGCCACCATCCCAAGCCTGCAGCAGGTACCCATGCTCTTGGGCCAACAATACCAGGAACCGGTTCGTAGGGTTGAGTACTGGGACCTGGTGTGGAGGAGGGAATTTACCAGCTTGTCCTGTCTGAAGGAGGGTCCTGGTGGCCCTGGAGGTCCTGGAGGTCCTCGAACTCCAACACCAGGATCTCCCTGGGACATAAGACAAATCTGTCACACTGAGGACACTGAGGACACATGGTCCCCACTCTCAGTTAGGAGCTGGGACAGGAAAGGGGCCATGCTGTGGTCTGCACACACGTACCTTCTCACCCTTGGGGCCCACTTCTCCTGGGGTTCCTGGAAAGCCTTGAGGCCCAGTGTCACCCTGGAAGACAAGGATAGGAGTTAGGCAGAGGGAAGTATCTCTCTTCCTTCATACAATGAATCTTGAGCCCCAAATGCTTCTCATTCAGGAGCAGAGGGCAGCCCTTCAGGGATTCTTGGAGGCCTAATAAACCAGGAAAGGCCATGCCACCAAGACAACCCCAGAGGAGAAAAACAGGATTTAAAAGTGACACCACTGGCTATGGATGGCACACATCCTCTTCAGAGAAATCATCTAAGGTAACCACAGATCTCCATGGCGGAGTGTAAGTCCACTGCATGTGTATGGGATACACATGTGTCTGTGCAAACGTGATGGACACATTGGGCTTAGGGAAACCTCCACTTAACACTGAGCCTGGACTGCACGTAGTTTCAACACAGCTCTGTCTGGCACAAAGAGCTCCCTGTGGCCACTCTGGCAGCGTGGGGGACCCCATCTCAGCACTGTGGCCCCTCTCTTGCACCCCGAGTTCCCCACTCTTTGTTGTGAGCCCTCACCCCAGCCCCTCAGGAAATCTGGGAACAACACTCTGTGGTTTTGGCAGTCACATTGTGCCTGCCTTTAGCCACCTGTAGTTGGTTAGGTCAAAAGTACAACCCAAGCTAAGCCTCCTTTTTAAAGTGTCCTCTCTGGGAAACCATGGCCCTGAGCTGTATACAGATGGCCCGTGGATCCCGTGGAAACACGGTACAGTGTCTGGTACAGAGAAAAAGCCAACTTACCGGCCTTCCATCCTCACCAGGGTCACCCTGTAACGTGCAAGAGAAGACATGAATGCAAATTGTCCTGAAGCCACTACACAAGACTGGGCACAGAAAGAGACCAAAAAGTGAAAAAAATACCTCTAACACGTAAACCTGGCACCCACTTTCCTTTTTCCTCCAGACATTGGAAAGTATCTTGTTGTTCTGTTTTTATTTTTTTTGAGACATGGCTTCTTTGTATAGCCCTGGCTGTCTTGGAACTTGTTCTGTAGACCAGGCTGGCCTCGAACTAACAGAGATCAACCTACCTCTGCCTTCTGAATGCTGGGATTAAAGGCAGGTTGAAGACTATTCTTAAATGGACTGATCTTGTAAAATTTGTTGTTCTAGTAAGATAGGTCATAAGACCAACTGTTATTTCGCTTTTGTAATCAAACTTGCTCACTCTGCTCAATGACTAGGACAAGGGCAAGACATTTATGTTCAAATTAGACCCCGCCCACATGTACACAGAATACATTTAATCGTGTGAGGTCTGACTTCATAAGCCATGGATTAACATAACTAGATGCTGCATCTTGGGAGTTCTCTTGGTTGCAGTCCTGGAGCCATGAGTAGCTGGCACCACTATTTAATAAAGCCTCCTTTTATTAAAATACATTCATGGTCATGGCAAATCTCTAAGTGACCCAGACCCACAACAGACAGCACTTCTGCAGTAGAGTTTAGGTCCAGGGTTGACTTGGGCATCCCTGACCTCCATGCTCTAACTACCTTCCGGCTCTAGTGCACAGCAGAAGGCTGGTAGAAATCCCAGCATCCGAGGATGCTGCTGCTCTGATCCCAACCAACTCTCCCACCATCCCCAGTCAGAGACCTCAGCTCCAGCCCAGATCACAAGGGGAGGCCAGGACTCACCGGTTCACCGTCCCTTCCTGGAGCTCCATCTTTTCCTGGTGGCCCCTGAGGCCCTGGGGGTCCTTGTGCTCCAGGGACAGGTTGTGCACTGGGGTTCTGTACCACTGGGCCTGCAGGACCCTGGGGACCAGCTGGGCCAGGTAAGCCCGGAACACCTGGCTCCCCCTTTTGTCCCTTCAGAACTCCCTAGAGACAAAGAGGATATCGGCTGCCACAATCTGCATACAAGTTCCCCTCATGCTGCTGCTACATTCTCAGGGACCTGAATCTCAGGCCTCCAGGGAATACGGAGGTGCAGGTTGGGGGTAGAAGCATTGTAGAGCACAGGGCAGCAGGCCAGGGGAGGGAGTGTGGGCCTGAGGTCACAGTGAGAAGCCACTGAGGGTTCCCAGGTGCCCTAGGACAAGGTCATGGGGAAGTGACCTCACCTTTATCAAGCCACTTCCATGATTCTGGACGCTCTCTTCCCGTGTACCGCTTGTGCCAGGAAGGGTCTCAGCTGGGAAGAGGTAGAGGTGGCATGGTCAAGCTTCAAGCAGCCCCAGGCTCTTGGCTTTGCTGCCCAAGCTTTGCTTCTCCACCCAGCAAGAGCCCCGGGGACGAGGCTATGAGAACAGCCATTTGCCTTTCCGCCCACCAAAAACCCTGAGGACAGGGACCAGGGGAATGGTGAGTGGCAATGGTCACCTAACATGGGCAACAGGACAGAAGCACCAAAGTCACCACAGCCATTTAAAGTAAGTCCAGTGACAACCGAAACCCTCGAGAAGATGCCTGAGTTTGTTTTAACATCTCTCCAGCAAAACTCCTTCTTATCACGTTCTCCTCTTCCAACGTGCAATTTGAAAAACAGAAAGCCAGCAGCAATTCTGAGATGAACCCCAGAGGTTCACCTAGAACCCACCATCCCCATGGTACCTCTGACACACCGAGGCACATGTGACATACATATGCACACACACACACACACACACACACACACACACACACACGCCACTTCTTCTGCAGAACTGTCTGGACATTTGTGGCATTTGCTATGACCTCTGCCTCGAAGACTGTGGTGTTTCGCAAGGGCAAGGCTATCATTCACAAGTCGGTCACGATCACATTCAGGGATCCAACCTTGATAAACGAGCAATGACTTGGTAAATGGTCCACACTCCCCTGGCTTCTCTGAGAACAGTAACCATGAAGACGCCAAACGAGGATCTCCTGCTATGTTGGTTCCATGTCTTTTACATGTGTCCAACACACGAGTGCTGCTGGAGCCAAAGTTGGGCCCAGTGAGCCTGCTACCGGGTTTTGGACAGTCTTTGAGCTGAGAGTGGGTCTTACAGATGTGCACAAACAAGAAACACTTCTAAGGTCAGAGACAGAAAATGCCACAGAAACATGGCTGACCCCAAGCCTGAAATAGAAGTTGGCCAACAACAGCAGTTGTCATTCCTTCCTTTGCCTCCCCTCAGGAGCCTGTCCTCACTGGAACCACAAGACAGGTCCTTCCTGAAAATACAGAGTACCATTCCCTAGTGATTAATAAAGGGCTTGTAGGGTGATACCCGGAGGCAGATCTTAACCACATCTCACTAGCAGCAGACAGTATAGACTTTTATCACGCCAACATGTCACACCTCTTAGACTCCAATTACGTCTCTAAGTAGAGTTTCTACTATTTAGAGGCATCTTGTGCTCCTCGGCTGCGGCACCGAGCCCCCCACCTTGGGTTAGAATTGATGATCACACAGTTATTCACGGCTGAGCTCAGTCCCTAGCAGGATATAGGATCTGTAGCCACAAATGAGCATTGGTCAAACTAGTGGACGTCCCAGGAGCTGCACAAACAGCGTGCTCAGGCCCCTTACTCATTCTCAGGGCTCTAGGGAATGCCACTCCTAGCCTCTGAGGCTGACATTGTTCTCTGGGGGAGGGGCGCTGCTGATGGACTTTGCCCACAGCGGGTCATGGGTTCATCAGCTGCTTAGTAAGGAGTAAGCCAGGTATCTGATCAGGATGACCCGGCCTCCCCCATCCACCACAGCCAAACTGCGCCACCTGCAGGAGCCACTGCCGTGTTTGACCACAAGAGGGCAGCATGGGCTCTCCCTACAGCAGCAAAGCTTTCCTGGAACTTCAGGTTCTCCAAACCTAAAAAGCACTGCCTTAGGGGGCATTTAAAACTGTGCAAACATGGCTAAGAGAAATCAAACAAGACCTAAAGAAAAGGCAACAACGGGTCTCGAGAGTCATTTCTCTGCCCCATTGAAACTCCAGCAGGCTTTTTCTTCTCTGCAGATGTGGCAACAAGCGGCCAAGACAGACAGGGAGAGCCATGGCTCAGAGAGGTGGGCAACAGACAGGATGGTACAGAGAGATGGGCGTGGAGATCTACAGCACAGAGGAGAGACCGGAAATAGACTCAAGTGTGGGAGGCTGGTGCCCCACATCTCAGAGTCGGCTCAGCAGGGGAAAGGGGGCTTCAACAGTGACAGAAGTTGGGAAACAGTTTTTTAAAGATTGAAAGTAGGTCTTTGGATCACCTTGGGCAGAGTTTCAGGTGACACTAGAAGTGAGATCTTTGAATTTCAGCAAAAATTAGAAAAGTTAGGCTTTTCTAAAGATGCTGTTAAGAAGATGAAGGTGGATATTGTGGCTCACACCTGTAATCCTAGCACTTGAGAAGCAAAGACAGGAGGGTCACAAGTTCAAGACTAGCTTAACACATGCTCACACACACACAATCACTCACACATACATGGAGATATCTCTCTATCTATCGATATCTATAGATATCGATAGAGAGAGATGTTATATCTATATTATATATATATGTTATATCTATATATTAGGTATTACATATAGATATTTATATAGATATAGATATATATCCTCAGAGGGTAGGATAGGAGAAGATGAAGAAAAAAAGGGAGTCCGGCAGTGGTGGTGCATACCTTTAATCTCAGCACTGGGAGGCAGAGGCAGGCAGTTCTCTGAGTTCGTTCAAGACCAGCCTGGTGTACAGAGTGAGTTCTAGGACAGCCAGGACTACACAGAGAAACCCTGTCTTGGAAAAACAAAGAAAGGAAGAGAGATAATATGAAGAAGACAATGATTGTGTTTAAATCCAGAATCTCAAAATTCAACAATAAGACATCATACAGCCCATTAAACTTTGGCATAAGATCTAGACATCTACTGAGATGTAAGCCCACAAAAAGATGCTGGTTATCACAGAAACAAGGGAGAGCACAGGGCAGGCCACCCCACTTCCATAACACCCATGTCTAATGACCTCACTGAGGTGAGGTGCACAGACTCCCACCTACTGGGTTGGGTAGTAAACACACAAATCATTAGCAAATGGCTCAGCAGCAGCTGAGACAGAAGACCCAGAACAACATCCTCTGAAGCCACCTCAAGCCGGACATAGTGCACACACCCATCGCCAAGTCCTCAAGCTGGACATAGTGTACACAGCGATCACCAGGTCCTCAGGCTGGACATAGTGTATACACTCATCACCAGGTCCGCAGGCTGGACATAACGCATACAGCCATCACTAGGTCCTCAGGCTGGACATAGCGCATACAGCCATCACTAGGTCCTCAAGCTGGACATAGTGCATGCACTCATCACTAGATCCTCAGGCTGGACATAGTGCATACAGCCATCACTAGGTCCTCAAGCTGGACATAGTGTATACGCCCATCACTAGGTAAACAGACAAATACACTGTGATCCGTCCATACTGTGGATGATAGGCCAACCACTGACTCTCTATAATGTCAATGCTCTTTCTCAAAGGGGCACAGTGCCAAGCAAACCCAGATGCTTACTGCTTTCCCCTGCGTGTGAAGTTCTGGGAAAGGACAGCTCTCTGTGCTGACAGAAGGCAGAGCAGTGGGGGAGTGGGGCTGCCCAGGGGAACCTGGCAGGGTAGGGGGTCATGCTTTGTTATCTTCCTGAGATCCACGAACACTGACAGAGCTCACCTCAAGGCCCGTGGGCTCACGCAGCCCAGGTGGGATGTAAGTCCCCACTCATGAGTCAGGAAGTGGCTCCTTTCCAGCCCTGCTTGACTTGTGGGTCAACAAAGAAAGGCAGCCATGGCTGGCGACAGGTGGAAATCTAGACCTGGGGTCACAGCTGGGAGTACTTGGGTTTGGTCAGCATCAGGAGGAGCTGGAGCTTGTTCTCCTTAGAACCTATGGAAGCCCTGGGGAATCCCAGACACTCCCAGAGACTCCCAGAGACTTTCATAGGCTCCACTGCGCTTCAGGCCAACAGAGCTGGAAGGAGACATTTATGCTGCTATGTTACCAGGTCTGTAATCAGCAGCGCAGAGAACAGCCCAAGACACACCATTCATAGCTGACACGCCTCAGGCGTTCCCAGCCCTGCCTCCTGCAGACCGGGAGCCTTGTGCATGTCGCCCAGACATCGGCTTCCATGCGAGACATATATCACCCTATAGGCTGACCTGTGGCACAGCCTGGACTAAGGATGTATTTTCTCCTACATCTCTCCTCTCTTGGACTAATTTACACTCTCCCAGCAAACCTGCTGGCCCTGAACCAGGAGATGGCATGTCTGGAAAGGTTCCTACACACGACAGACAAAGACAATACAGAGAGAGAGCCCGATGAAGGACATGTCACAACTACCTGGTTCAGAGTTCTCCTGGGGCCCAGCCAGAAACCTGCCTCAACAGGACCTTCTTAGATGGCAGAAGGGAGGCAGGTGGGGACAGGGTTGGCCCTGATGCAGTCTTCATCCAATACACCACACACACACACACACACACACACACACACACACTCACATATACATGCTCACACATGCACATATACACTCATGCATACACGCGTACACACATAAACACACACATATATACACACTCACACTCATACACACACTCATGTTCACACACACATACAAACATACATATGCACATACACACCACACATGTACACACACACTCACATACACACAGAACACATCCAGAAAAGTTTTACCTCCTATAGACTCTACCGTGGTTTCTTCCTCCGTTTCTTCTGTTCTAGAATCTTCCGTGGTGCTGCCTCCAGCCAGGGGCGGGGAAGTGACAGGGGGTGGCTGGGGGAGCCTGGGTGCTAGCGATATATCCTGCAAGAGGAGAACCAGGAAACCTGGCTGTGTTATTCAGAAGCACAACTATCCCGTGCATGTATGAGCCGGCAGTTCCGTCTGGCTTTGGGGTTTACAGCTTATGAAATGGGTTGCTTGACAGGGTTTTGAGGAAGATGAGGAAAGCATCACTCTAGTTGAGATGAATCACCAGGACTTCTGGCAGAGCTATCTGCTGAAGGTTTTCATCAGCCTGGAGGCTGGGTCCTACACCTCAATAGTCCTTAATTCCTAAAACTTGGCATCGCCAGAGGACCAGAGGACCAGGGACAAAGAGCCTTTCCGGGTCTAGTACAGATACTCCCTGTGGCTGGAGAACATCAGAGATGCTTAAAGTAGGGTCCTCGGGTATCACAGTAGGGTGTACAGAGCAGGTGTGCTCTCAAGGAGGGTCATGACAGAGACTTCTCCCTGGGCCGCCCCCCCCCCCCAAGCACTGGCCCAGCACTGACTTCTTATTGTTCTAATGGAGGCTGTTGGTCTACCCTGCAGATCCTCTGCCTTGTGCCAGTTTCAAACTCACCCAGGGGACCTGGTGGCACACAGCAGCATGACCTATATTCCTGATGACTTCTTATCGGTAACAGAGAGGTCCAGGTAGATGGGCCCTGGGGAGTATCTAGGCTGGGGTAGTGTTGGGGCTTGAACAAGGACTCCTCCAGACACTCTTGAGGCCACTGTCACACCACAGACATCACAGACCAGGGTGGGCATGGGACACCAGAGGTCTGCAGCTTTCACCCTTTGAAGGGATTGGCTAGGCCCTTCTGGGAACCCCTCACACAGTCCCTGCCTGTGACTGCAGGGTCAAGCTCCTGGCTGGAGTGAGCAGGTTACGAGGATGGATGACATGAGTGCCCAAGCTAGTTATTAGCTGGTCTACAGACAAGACGATACCGATGTGACATGGCACTCATAGGCACATCTGTGCTTCCAGCATCTGTCATGCCCAGGGCACCGTGTATAGAAGCAGAGTTTTGCAAATCTAATCCACATCTATGAGGAGAAGAGTTTATGACCATCAAGGGACACAGAATGTAGTCCCAGATTTCCAGATGACTATGTTCCCTATCCCTAAAATTTGCCTGTCTGCCCAGTCCACAAGTTAAGGGGGCCTCAGCACCTCTTCTAGACGTGGTGGCCATCCTTAGGCTACTTAACATCCTGCAGTCTTCTTGGCCCTAACACCCAAGGTCCACCTTAAAGACAGGCTCTTCGTACTAGATGCTGGGGGCCCAGAGGGGCCCGGGGGTTCACTCAAACATCCTTTTCCTATCTAGAGTGCCTCTGTGTTCTTGGGACCCTGGACTGGAAAAAGCATGCAATGAAATTCCCTGCAATGTCACTTGTCTGGTCCTCATGTTAGACACAAACCAGTTATGGTCCCATACCAGCCAAGAGCATCAACAAAATGCTGAGTCACCTCTGATGAGAAAGCTCTCTTTAGAGGAGAATTTCTGGCTCAGGACAAGAGGCAGCAGAGCCAGAGGGGGGACACAAGATCAACCTCAGACTGGTGCCTCCCTGCATGACGCAGGACTGCTGGGATGTCATACACACTTACACACGCTATGCACAGACCATATTTCCCCTCCCCTGCCTGAACAAAGAGATGGCCTCACCACCTACAGGCACTCACCTCCTCCCTGTGTGGCTTGCTGCTTTCTTCAAAGCCACTTCCAAAGTCTCCAGATGCCTGCAGGGCGTGAGAGAAGTGAGGAAGAAGTCAGGACCAGAGGTCCCATGACAGGATAGCAACTGGACAGCAAATAAGACTCCTCCTAGGTCGAAATCAGTCAGACTTGCTGCTCGGGCAAGCCCAGTTGTAGACCAGAAGGTTGTAGATCAGGCTTGTGCACTCTTGCTCTGTGACGTGACTGCCCTGTCCTTGCCATCCATAGGGGACAGGTAAGGGAGGTAGGAAGCTGCCCTAAGCAGCCCCAGTCCAGGCTGACACTGAAGAAGCATACGTGGAGCATACATACGTCACAATAGTGTCCCCCACCCATCATCTGCCTGGACAGGCTGCTTTCACGCTCTCCCTCCCTACAGCCTCCAGGAGCTCTTTGGAAGCCAGGGGCCAGCCCTTCCTCTTGCCAAGGTGGATAACTTAATATAAACCCAAAGGAGAAATACTACCTGGGCCCATAGAACCCATAGTGACATCTCGATGTCAAGGTGGCCCAGGAAGAATGGACTTGCAGACACCCAGCACGAGCAGCATGTGTCATGCCCACTGGATGGCATGCTCATGAGTGAACGTTACCCATGCACTAGAGACTGGCACTAGACAGAAGCCAATCACATCTCTGATTTTTCTCCTGGAAAAGGTAATAGCTGTTGTAGAATATTATTTTAAGATGTGTGACATTTGTTTATACTACAGAATGTTTGTTTAATGATGCAAAGATGTGTTACATTCTTTATATAGCATTTGTTTAACTCTGTGAAGCTGGGATTCTTCACCTGTCTAAAACACCTGATGGTCTAATAAAACGCTCAACGGTCAATAGCGAGGCAGGAGCAAAGATAGGCGGGCTGGCAGGCAGAGAGGATAAATAGAAGGAGAAATTAAGGGGGACGAGAAGGAGAAGCAAGAGAACAAGGTGAGGACACTAGGGGCCAGTCACCCAGCCACCCAGGCACCCAGGCACCCAGGCACCCAGTCACCCAGCCAGTCACCCAGCCACCCAGTCACCCAGCCAGTCACCCAGCCACCCAGTCACCCACCCAGTCACCCAGCCAGTCACTCAGCCAGTCACCCAGTCACTCAGCCAGTCACCCAGTCACCCAGCCAGTCACCCAGCCAGTCACCCAGCCAGTCACCCAGTCACCCAGTCACCCAGCCAGTCACCCAGCCACCCAGTCACCCAGCCAGTCACCCAGCCAGCCAGTCACCCAGCCACCCAGTCACCCAGCCAGTCACCCAGCCAGTCACCCAGTCACTCAGCCACCCAGTCACCCAGCCACTCAGCCACCCAGTCACCCAGCCACCCACCCAGTCACCCAGTTAGCCATGGAGTAAGAGTGAAAGGAAGATTACAGAAGAAAAGGAAAAAGCCCAGAGGCAAAAGGTAGATGGGATACTTTAAGAAAATCTGGCTAGAAATAAGTCAAGCTAAGGCCAGCCATTTATAAGCAATAATAAACCTCCATGTGTAATTTATTTGGGAGCTGGGTGGTGGGCCCCCAAAAGAGCCAAGAGGGTAAAAGACAAACAACATTTTGGCATTCCAACATAGAGCCAGGCTCTGCCCAAGAGGAACTGGTGACTGGGGTATTGTCATGTGCTATCTCCAGTGGGACATCCCCCCAATCCTGTCCTCTGGCAACAGTAGATTGTTTTCCTGATGATATTATACACATGCACACAGAAAACAGGGACACACAGAGATACAGTGCATATAGATCACACATGAAAGATGCCCAGCACACCGAAAATAAACATAACCAGCAACACGCAGAGAGACACACAGACTACTCGGCTCACATACCGCACATATAATAGCCGAGCTGTGCAGAGAGACAACACACAATATAAAGATAACAGCAGACAAAAAAACAAAGGCACATACACAGCAAGCAGAAAAAAAATACAAAGACCAGATGTACCCTACAAAAGACACACAGTACATCAAGAGCTACACACAATCACACAACAGACAGACATACCCTCCCATAAACACACATCCCACATAGCATCTAAACATACACACAACCAAGCACGTATGCACTTTCCACAGTGTGACCTGTCCATCACACGGTGTCGCTGTGGCTTGGTCTCTGACATTTACATTTTCCAGGTTGTCCGAAATGGCAAGTTAAGGCGAGGAGTGATGTCTGAACAACACATAGGTTCCTGGTACCCTACTGGCATCTTTTGGCTTTTCCCAGCATATCACTTTGGGACCCTTGCTCACAGGGGGAAGATACCCTCCCCCCCCCCAAGACACTCACCCTGTCTTCATCATCATCATCTTCATCCAAGCAGTGCACAGGGCTCACCCGGGGGTTCTGTCGTATCTTCAGCTCTGAGATCTTCCCCTGGAGGGAGGCAGAAGGTCATTAGTTTGAAAATGAAATGTTGCTCAATGGATCAGGTGTTGGGCCCCTCAGTTGCCAGCTGGTGGCACTGTTTGGGAAGGTGGTGGAATCTTAAGGAGGTGGAGGATCACAGAATTGGGTTACTGGGAGACAGACTTGACACTTTCCAGCCCTACTCTGCTTCCTGGCTGCAATGTGGCCAGCTGCCTCAGTCTTGCTCCCCCTCACGGTCACAGACACCTCTCAAACTGCAAAGCCAAAATAAATACTTGCCTTCTTTTCTTAAGTGGTTCCTGGTCAGATATTCGGTTACAAAAACAGGGAGAGAGAGTAAGACCCTGGAACCCTGGAGGCAGGTGCTCGGGCAGAGCCTCTGACTCGTGCTGGCTCGCAGCCTAGCCTGATGCTACCAGGGAAGCTCCCTTTTGTCAGGAGCAGACTCATTCAACAGCTTTCAAGTTGTGGCAGTTTCTGGGCCAAGACAAGGGAGGCCGTGAGGATCAGATGCACCCAGCAATGAACATCTCACACTTCCTGCCTAGATCGCTGGCTCTTACCCAGGCTCCGGGGTGTCTGTCTGAGGGAGCTCACACGCACTTTCCCCGTATTTATGTTCTTACTTTGATTGTACTCCATTACACTAATTTCAGTTTACTAAATAGAGACAGCACTTCCTCATTTCCAAAGAGATTTTCTAGACTCCTGTCACAGCCAGAACTGAGTGGATGGGGGCGGGCAGACTTCCATGTGGCCCAATGGGGAGAGTCTCCCTCTGGCTGTTCAGTCGGCTTGCATGAACAATACATATCAACACTAAGGGAAGGCTGTGACTGTCCTAACAAAACTTGACATGGAGACACTGAAATCTGGATTCCATACCCAGTTTCACACATCACAAAATAACTTGATTCTTCCAGCCACTTGAAAATGTAGCCATCACCCTAGCTTGGGAGCCTTGAGGGAGTCAGTGATGGCTGGCCCATGCTGCAAGAAACAGGGCTTGACCTCGCAGGACCAACATTGTGACAGGGGGGACTCCATGCCCTTTATCCCATGTGCTATGGTGGTCTGAGATTTGGGAGGCCTCTAGGTCAGGGGAAAAACAGAACTGACATCTGTACCCCCTAAAAAGATCAGAGGAGCAGCATTAGACCTGCAGGTGAAGAATGATCTGCCTGTATTTGGGTCCAAGGGGATTCTGGGAGTTCTACCAAACTAGTAACATCAGGACAACATATAAGTAAGTACACACAGTTGTGTGAGAAGGAGCATGTGTGTGTGTGTGTGTGTGTGTGTGTGTGTGTGTGTGTAAGGGTGGATATCACCCACGCCCAGGAGCCCTGCACCAGTCAGTCACAGTCACATTCACTGGAAGGGAGATGCACACTTCCTGTCAGCCAGCTTTTGGGGTCAACACAGCATCTGGGGACAGAATGAACATCTTCAGAAGCCTGCTCAGAGCTGCAGCCGGTGCCTTGGTGACAGTGGAGAGCTCCCAGGGTCAGGAGGAATTGGGCTTAAACACTAGAAAACTGCTTCCTAAGGGCAGAGCTGGCCAGGGGCGTTTCGCGTGGTCTCAGCAAGAGACACAGCGTTCCACACAGACGGGCTCACTGCTGTGGACGGGCCACACTCTCTGCCGAGGCTGTGGGTGCCTGCGTCTGGAAAAGGCCTCCAGAGGGCAGAAAAGACTTGTGTCTGCGCTGAGTTCAGCTCTGTATCCTGCCCTTGTGACTCCTCCACCCCCGCCTGGAGTTCTCCCAATGGCTAATGGGGACGATGTCAGTTGTACAAAAACCATAAGACCCACTGCAAATATTGAATGGACTTGGACCCAGAAGTTATGCAATCTGGACCTTGGGAAACAGGGGACTGTGAACATTTAGAGACGAGTGCCACGTGAAACTCTTCCTGCCACGCCGACCGGCAGTGCTTCAGCCATGGGGAAGTCACTCAGAACAGATCCCCGTCAGCAGGGGGCACAGCGCCGTCTTGGCTCACCTGGGCCTGCCATGGCAGAAGCAGTGTCTCAGCTAGCAGAGGTCAGAGGCTGAAGCCATGAAGTGGGGCCACCTGCTAGTGTGGTCTCATGGGCTGCATCCTCGTTTCCCCATGGCCTTCAGGGTGGCCTCTTTGCCCCACCCTTTTCCCCTCAGCCCATCTTCCCCTCCCTCCCTCCCTTTCTGACCTCCCATGGCCAGTTCCTGCTGCGGTGTGACCCAGCGTGCTGCCTGCTCTGCTTGCTAATGCCTGACATCCATCCCTGCTGCCCTCACACTCATTGCCCCACGTGGCTTCACGGGCCTCCGGCGTCAGGTCTCCGCTCCCGTGACCAGGTCCCGACAGGCCACGTCATCACAGCCAGCCTCCTTTGGTCTCTTACAATGCCCAGGAAGAAAATGGCGTACAAGCTGTGGCACTGTACCCACCACAGGCTACTTGAGATGCAAGAGGGGTCCGTGGAGCTTTATTTACCAGAACACTGAGCAGGAGCCAGTGGGACAGACTGCTGAGAAGCACGGGGAGAGACAGACTGAGAGTGGACCCATGAGGGCTCTGTCCTCAATCAGGAGCGGAACTGCTGGGGTCAGATTCTGCCCTCTGCTGCCTGCTCCAGCTCCCATACAGGAAGGCCTGTTCTGACATCACACACTTGAGGGCTGGGGCCACCTCTCAGCACCAGCACACGCATCCATGACTCTGATGATGGAGCCACAGCTGCACCCTGAGGAAAATTCATTGCCTCAAGTCTAGATGAAGGAAATGAAAATTGACCTTGAGATGCCCAGCTGAATGAAAACACTAGGAAAGCTGTACTTTGTGGGGTCTCTCCTGGGGTCAGAGGCACCAGGGGTTGCGGGGGGGGGGGGGGGGGCGTTGCTGGAGGTGGAAGAGAAACACAAAAGGAACCTTAAGCCAAGGTATGGACCTCATAAAGACAACACAGGGCTGAGCTGGGCTCCATGGGAAATACTGGCCCAGCATGTGGGAGGTCCTGGGTTTAGTCCTCCCTAGCACCCACACTAGGAAAGAAAGACAAAAGAAAGTCAAGAGAATAAGAAGTAGAGGCACCTCTGACAGGCAAAAATAGTCGAGAAGAATTATAACTACAAGTCATACAACATAACCAACAGAACACCTGCACTGAACACAGCCGGAAGCCACGCTTTGAGGGAACTGGTAACCAGAATGACGCTCACGACCAAACTCAAATGGATAGACAGGAAGACAATGACATCAAACTGTGAGGACCACCACCCAGCAAGGACCAGGTCTAGGTAGCTGTAGGCACAGCCCGGCTCTCCCTGGTAGTGCGTGGATGCAGGTAGGGCAGAGATGACTCAGAGGAAGCCTAGCTCCCCATCCCACTGGATTCCCTGCCAGAGCACTGGCTCTTCAGTTCCCTGGCTCCCTGACTCCCAGAGCTTTGGTCATGTCATGAGTCATATGATACAGTGACTCCTCCCCCAAAGGCCACAGCACCAAGTCTGCAAATCCAACTATCTCCTTTTCTGCCACCAGCACATCTCCCTCGCTCCAGCCGGCATCCTTTAAACGGAAAGGATCCTGAGACCTAGCGTACAGCAGCAAGCAGGGTCAGACTGCTGAGGTCAGCGGGGGAGGCGTCTATGGTCTGCAATGACCAGCACAGTTCCCTGAATGCTCTCTGATTCTCTCCTTCAAACAACAAAGAGTTTTCATATCCAAGGTTGTGGGTTTTTCTCTCCAGACCCAAAATTAACCAAACAAACTCCTTAAATGCCCCAATGGTGTTTTTTTAAGTGAACAGACAAATGGCAGGCTGGGAATAAGATGTGTGTATACACAGCCAGAGCTAAGTTTCTTTTAGATATGGAGAGCTGGATAAATCAATTAGGAATGGCTGAATTCTCCCACCAAAATCCAAAGGGCGGGGGGAGAAGCTCACGTTCACAAACACACTGAGAAATGAAAATGAAAACGATACAGCGTGTCTACATATCCAACTGGCAAACCTTTTTCACACAGCCCGGCAAGACCCAGGCAGTGATGAGGCCACCTCTCTCAGGGTGGCTGTGCCCCTCCATCAGCACCACCGAGTCTCACGTACCCTACTTCTCACCAGCTCTGCCGGGGAAGTCAGAGACAGACAGAACCTCTGAGGTCTGCCACCCCCTTGGGAAATGGTGGCAATAGCACAGCACAGATGTCTCACTCTGGAAACACTGATGCTCAGCTTTCTGGGAATCGCATTTGAAGAGCAGAAGGAAAACACACAGGGGCCCAGTTTGGTGCCAAAGTCCCGGTAGCTCTTGAACTCCGTGGGTTAAAAGTTCCTGCCAGAGGCAGAAGGTCAGCTTTCAGAGCTGTGGACACAGGACTTAGAACAACTTACAACAGCAGGCCCTTGTCTGGGTCATAATTGACTGTCTGTCCCTGGGGACATGTCCTTCCTTGCACACACAGGGACCCCTGTCTGGGTTGGGCAGGGGCGTCCAGCTGCTGATGGCTGGCGTACTGGATTCAGGAGCCATGAGTCAGTGCCAGCTGAGGGTCCCCACGCACTGGTTCTCAAGAGGCTGGGCTCCCAGCTGGGATCTCAGGAAGAGTGCCCTCCTACGAGAAACGTAGGACCCAGAAGGGACAAACGCAGGGACATGGAAAGAGTCACGGACCTCTCACTGTCACCCAGTGGGCCCGGAGCGAGTCGCAGTCTTCATTAAAATAATAAACATCCCGGAGCAGCTGACCTAAGCAGGTCTGTTGTGTGACGTCCCAGTCCCCATTCCCAGCAGGGTACTCCCTCGACTGTGCAGATAAAGGAAGACCCTCTGGGTGACTGCCTTTAATGAGTCATTTTGGTCATTAGTTTTGAGAGAGGGTCTTAAATGAGCCTGGAACTCCAGAGCATTCTCCTTCTGGCTCCCTGGTGGGTTAGGTGTACGGCCCCAAGCCTGTTTCTTCCACAAGATGCCTGAGCACTTGTTTTCCAGGTGAAGTAGCTGAGCCCCGACTAAGCCCTACACTCTCCTAGACTAAGCTTGCTGTCTCCAGCTCACCCCAGGCCCTGGCTCATATCTGGCGCATACTCAGGATGGGAGCCCGAGAAGAAACGGCCTCCAGCAGCCATTTTGTGGGTCCTGGGGTCTCAAAGAACTCAGAAAAGCCCAGTGGGGCATCCAGGGTATCAAACAAAGAACAAAAGTTGGAACAGAAGCCACTGCAGCCACAAGTGGGAAAGCCACAAGTGTGGGCGTCCAGGCTGCAGCATCAACTGGAGGAACTTGCTTTCCCTGGTCCCCCGGCCCCCTCCTCCCCTGGCTCAGCACACAGCAGGGCAGCATAGGTTACCTGGAACTTGTCAGGGTCAGCTGCTCCAGCCTGACCCACGAAGAGGCCAGAGTCGTGCTCCAGTTCCAGGCCTTGCGGGGACCGAGCAAACGGCACCTTCTGGAACTCTTCGCAGTCTATGTAGAGAGCCACAGAGCGGCCATCCACGCTGAGCGCGAAGTGTGTCCACTGGCCAACAAACGCAGGCAGGTGGAAGCTGGCGCCCGTGCGGGTCTGGCTAGCACCGTGTTCCGTGTAGAGCAGTGAGATGTTCTGGTAGCCATCTTGCACCCCCGAGAGCTTCACGCCCAGCGAGACCACTGTCTGCGCAGCGTCTGTGATGGCAAACAGCACCCCTGCGGCCTTTGTGGCCGGCTGAATATGAAACAGGATTGAAAAGTCACGGAAGAAGAGTCTAGGGAAGTGGTGCTGGGCCACCTGGCCACCACTGGAGTCTGGTCCAAAGACGTAGGCTGGCCCGACGTCGGGGTCTTCGATCTGTTGGATCTGCGGGGGCAGAGGGTCCCCGAGGAGCTGTGGCAGCCCCACCTCCTCAGCGATGGTCTCTGCAAAGAGAAAGACATCCAGTGGGGTGGCTGCACGGGAACAGACTCAGTCACAGTGGCACCCTAGGAGACACAGACCACGAAACCACCTTTATCCAGGTCTGCGTGGCCGTCTCTTTGTGTCTCTCCCTGTTTTCATGGACTTCCGGGCCAAAGCAAATATCCCAAGAAGGAAGTGAGGGGATGGGGCATGGAGTCCCCCCACTCTGACTCTATAGGAGGACAGACACAGAGTAAGACCTCTCTACGGCAAAGAAAGAGGAGGCAACACAAGGTAACTCCTGTCTGAAGCTCCACCTGGTCTGGGAGTCAGCTAGAGACAAATCGAACCTGGGAGACTCAAATGGCCAGGCTCCAAAGTCAGCTTTCCCTGGCTTTCTCTCGTCATTATGGTTTCTAGGTTAGCATCAAATTCTCACTCTGGTTCCCCACACGCCTGTTCCTCAGGAGCTCTTCCGTGGCCATTTCTGCTCCCTGAAGCTTAAGACCACACTACGGTGCAGAAGGCTGTCTGACAGCTGGCAGTGCCAGCCCAGTACAGACTCTCCCGGATCTAAAACTCTTCTAAAGTGCCCCGGGGTGGCCAGTGATCCATTTCACTTACAGACTTCACTCCTGGCACCATTTTGAGTTGGGCACAGATGTATGAGCTCTTCTCGTCTTTAGGCCAGGCCACCAGGGCCACTCAACACACTCAAGCAGTCCAGCATTACAAAGCCTGGAGGAGGCACTTGGGCAAGGAGAAGATTCACGGTCAAGAGCTCTCCTAGGAAGGAAAGGCTGGAGGCAGGCAGTATGTGCCTCATTGGTAGTATGTGAGTGTGTAAGGATAATATGCCTCAGATCAGGCTGTGGGGCTAGAATAACAAGGTCCCTACAGAGTAAGAGATGGGAAATACTGAACTCCCAACTTCACAGGGCAAATGGAGTCACCAAGCCCCTCAAAACCAGAAGACAAGAGTCACCATAGAGCGCATCCCTTAGGGGACAAAAGAACAGCTTTGTGTGCCGAGGGGGCATCCTGAACTGCTGCAAGGGTGGCCATAAGTCACATGCTCATCCTGTCACATGCTCTTAAGCCCTGAGTGCTGACCAGACATGGTGCTGGCCAGGAGCAGAGGGGACACAGCTTGGTGGGGGCACGACTTGCAAGAGCTGAGTGTCTGCAGCCTTCAAGATGAGAGCAGAGAAGGGTGGTGGGCTAGCCTTGGGAGCTCAGTGATCTGTCACAATCATAGCTGCTACAGTGTTTGCTTCTCACCAGAAATGCTGGGACCCAGAGTCCACACTTGAAATTCTGTAGCCAAGTCATGCATGCTGCCTGAGTGCTGGAGATGAAGCCGTTCTGCCCCTCCTTCTAAGACAGCAAAAATCCCTGGCGCCCCACTAGCCCAGCACACAGGACTCTACAGCTGCTGGCTTTCTGGGCTGGAAGGCACCAGTGTGTGCCAGGATGACCCCTGGGTCCTTAGAGACCTACAACCAGCTCTTCCCAAGCCCTTCCCTTTCCTTTCTATGAAATTCTTTTCTGCTCTGCTGGGAGTAGATGCCAAATGCCAGGGCAGTAAGATCACTGGCTCTGCTCCCTGGTTACAGGATCGTAGTGGGGGAAGGGCCTGGCTGCCTAGGCCAGGAAGCTCGTTTGTGGTTAAGGAGCAAGGCCTGTGCCATGCTCTGAGGGCTCAGAGGCCTTCTGGAGGACGGTGGTCCCTTTGCAAGCTGAGACTCCTCCAGCCACCCGTCTGACCTCAGATCCAGGAATGGGGGTCCTACCTGGTTAAGTCCACCTCCCCTGAAGTAAGCAGATACAGTTCTGAAAGGGCGGTATTTAAACATGGACACCCTTGAGCTACATGTGAAACCAATTACAGCCAGCATCCCTGTAGCACAAATAATAAAAACCCAGAGACAGATATTGGGGTTCAAGTTGAAGATCAGAAAAGCCAAGCGGCCAGCCACTGGCTCTTACCTCCACTTCAGACCGAAATGAGCGAGCCTGCCTCCACAAATCCTCAGATTGAGACTGAGCATGAGACCAGTCTCCTGGCATCTTATATTCTGCTCTAGCACTAGGATTAAAGGTGTGCACCACCACTGTCCGGCCTCTATGGCTAACTAGTGTGGCTGCTGAGGTTAAAGGTGTATGCCACCACTGTCTGGCCTGTATAGCTGACTAGTGTGGCTGTTTTGCATGCTGATCTTCAGGCAAGCTTTATTTATTTATTTATTTAGGTTTTGGCTTTTTATTTATTTATTTATTTTGCTAGTGAATATATTTTTGGAAGCAGAGATTCTTAGAAATATTGGTTTCATGGGGATTTTGGGCATGTGATGAAATTCACACTCTTCTCTATGTACAAAGGAAATTTATGCTTAAATACAATGCTCAAAATAGAAGAAAAATAAGTTTGTTTATACATACACACATACTTTTCCAACTCACTTTGTAAGAACAATTGTTTCCTAATTACTATTTCAATTTTTGAGGTAGCAGTGAACATAAATATCCTTTGAACTATTTATAAAACATTCATAACATATTAAAACACAAATAATGTACCACTATACATCCCCCCCACAAGAGCAGTCAAGACCTGGCTCTCGAGGGACCAGTAGGGAGAATATCTGGTACTCCCACCTGACTGGACCAGGCTCCTGGTGGTACAGGAGCCCATGCCAGCCTCCCTCCCGGGACAACAGCCAGTCCATTTCCCAGTGCGACTTTCCAGACCCTTGACTTTACGGCATCTTCACTGCCAACCTCAGCAGCAGGGCCTAGTTCTAGAACATGAGGGCAGACGGCATAGCCCTTAGGCAAACATGATGAGAAAAAGACCCTTCACTGGGACCGTGGCAGGCTGGATCATCAGCACCAGGACAAGAGTGCATCTCTAAGCAGGTGACACTCCCTCCCTCATCAAGGATCCTGGCCAATCCAGTCTGCCCGCCCTGGAGAACGGCCTCCAGCTAAGCCAGTAGCCCATGGGCTGCTCAGGGGTCCTTGACTCCTCCAATTCAATGAAGCAGATCTGTCTCTCTATATGTGCCGGGCTTCTGACAGCCAGGGCCCCCCAGCTCGCCAACTGGCTCTCCAAGGGATGCAGCCTGGGTACAGACTGTGCATCCACCCCTGGGCTGATCATTCACTTCCTCGCATATGCTCTGGGGCTGCTGTGTATAGGACTCAGGCTATGGCAGCCTGTCCCTAGTCTCTCTGGGCTCCCAACCATGTAAAACCCAGACTGCAACAGTCCTGCCCCAAATCACCTAGGCCTGGGTCCCGGCTGAGCATCCTGTGCTCCTAGAGTCCAGGGACAAACATTTTCCTTGAGTCAGAGGGAATCGTGGCAGTCCTTCCCTGCTTCTAAATTTTGTGGTCTATTCAGACACAAACATACAGTTGCTGTGTGGGGACTTGGGATGGACGGTAACATCTGTGCTGGACTCAGCCTGGGTACCCAATGGTCACCTAGTAGACAGCGGCAGAATCCAGAGGTACAAGTCCAGCAAGTAGTCCAGTGATGTGGGATGCCCCTCTGTATGCTGTAAATGTTTTATCACTATTGGTTAATAAAGAAGCTGATTGGGCCTATGGCAGGGCAGAATAGAGCCAGGAGGGAAATCCCAGAGAGAGAGGGGGAGAAAGAAGGTAGAGTCTGAGAGATGCCAGCAGCGGCCGGGGGAAACAAGACGTGAGGTAACAAGCCATGAGCATTGTAGTAAAGTATACAATAATAGAAATGGGTTAATTGAAGTTGTAAGAGCTAGTTAATAATAAACCTGAGCTAATTGGCCAAACAGTTTGTAATTAATATTAAGCCTCAGAGTGGTTATTCAAAAACCAGTGGGTGGGAGAGAAACCTCCAGAAACATTCCAGCCTGCGACTGTCTACACTGCTGTGGGGAAAGGCTCAAGAGAGTTATCTGAACTACGCAGCCAGCATGGAGAGTTTTATTACATCCACCCAGGCCACTGAGCTGTAGGCGATGAGCTGCACTAGATTCATTGTGGAATGAGGCCTTAGGGGCTAATTTTGTGAAGCCTTGAATGCAGCCGTTTGAAGAGATATTCAGAGTCCTTGTGGAATTGAGAAACTATAACCAAGCCAGAGCAGGGAAAAGGCAAAAGCTGGGGGGAAAGGAAATACCATCATCAATAAAAAGCATAAATGAGAGGGTGGTTTGGGTTCAGGTGGGCCAGCAACCTGAATATACTGTAAATTCTCAGGTGGAAGACAGACGTGAGTTAGGCCAAAAGTGTCCAGGTAAACACAGACAACGGCACAGCGAAGAAACGTCTGGCAAAAATTGCACAGGAGGCCTGAGGGGAAAGAAGCAGACAACAGGGACAAGGCAAGCATTGCAAGCACACCGCCTAGAACAGGGTCAGGTTGAAGCCGACCTTGTCTGGGAACTGCCCACATGGGTACACATGAATCTGTACAATGCAACTCATGACTGTTAACTCCAGTTCCAGGGGATCCTGAGCCCTTTTCTGGCTTCTGCAGGCACCAGGTATATAAATAGTACACATATATACATGTACCAAAACACACACATAAAATAAAAACAAATTAATTATTTTTTTAAAATCACCTAAACAGAGAGTAGAGCAGGAAATGAGGAACAGAAGTATTAGCACAAAGCAGCATTATCAACAGCAGTGAAATCCTCAAGAGCAGCAATTACAATAAATGTTAAACAGATTGAGTGTCAATCTAAAGAGAAGAGATTTGGGCCAGTGAAAGTAAAAGTGTCTGCTATTGATCCCAGGAACCCACACGGTGGAAAGATAAGGAAGAACTTCTTATCTCTGTGGGCGTGCACAGGGCACTGCCAGCCACAGTGGCACCTAGGCTCCTCTCCGGTGCAGATGTAACATGTCCAAGACAGACACATGTCAGGCCACTAAAAGCCTCAGCATATATAACATATACTCTCCAACCACTTTGAGATCAAGTTAGACATTAAAAACAAATAAAGCTGGAATACTTACGAAT